AAAAACAAAAAAAAAAACGTTCGTAACTTCAACTCGTCCAATAGCGCAATAACAAAGAAAAAAAAAATTCACCTCGATGTTATAAAATACTTTGTATTTCGATTATAATTTTTCGATTCTTATTTTTATTTTTCGTATTTATTCGAAACCCCTTTTTTTTTCTAATATTAATTCATTATCACGAAATAACAATATCAGCCGTTGAACACCGCCATGTATTCGACATTAGCCACATTTTAGCCGTAACGTTTTCCGCCCGTTCTCAATAACTTAATTATCAACGGGTTTTAACAATTTTTTTTACGAAACTTCAACTTAACGATATATTTTTTACGAAACCTTTACCCGATATATTTTACATTTTATATTAAAATTGTATTTTAATATTTTTTTTATCAAATTTTTAAAAAAATTATTCATTTTATTAAAATTATATACATCGTGTATATAATAAAGACCACGATTCGTTACTTTTTTTAAATAAACAACAAATAAGGAGGAAAAAATTTATTAAAACTAAAAAAAAAAAACTATGATCTATTTTTCCATTTGTTGTTTTACAAGTGATATTTTAATAATAATAAAATAAATAAGATAAACTAACCAAAAAAAAATACATTTTCAGATAAAAATAATAAAAAAAAATATATATATATAACATACGATATAAGGTGGGAAATTGCACTCGAAATAAAACAAAATTTTTTTTTTTTTTTTAAATTTTAAAAATTTTAGACACGATAAAAAATTGTTATACTTGTATACTTGAGGAAATAGATGAATATTGCGTTGTTGTTGTTGTTAATAATCGCAAAGACGATGAAATCGATTTCTAATCAAATAATTTATTGATATAATTTATAGTACCGGAATAAACGTGAATAAAATGGACTTTAGAGCAAAGAATCAATATATGAGATTTTAAAAGAATCAATATACGAGATACTAGGAGAATATGAGATTTTGGGATATACGAGATACGAGATACTAGGTATACGAGATATTAGGTATACGAGATATTAGGTATACGAGATATTAGGTATACGAGATATTAGTATACGAGATATTAGGAGATGAATCAATATATGAGATGAGATACTAGGGAGATAGAAGATAAATCTTTTCTTAAATCTTAATTGTCAATTAAATTAATAATCGACGCGTGTAACTTAAAAAGATATAAAACGTTTCATTATGATTTTTTTTTTGTATTTCATAGATGCTGAATTTTTTTTTTTGTTGAAAAATTTGTGCCTTTATAAATACTATTTCGGCATTAAGTTGGCAAATTTTTATCCAAGGAATTTGTAAAGAACCGGTAATTGAGATAAACAAATAATTAACATCAATCATCAATTAAATCGTTTGTTTGAAGCCACGTTTTTTTTTTATATAAGGATGAATCTTTTTTTTTTGGTATTTCATCCGAGAAAAACAAATCAAGAAACAAATTCTCCCCTTTTTTTTTATTTTTGGAAAAAAAGAAAAATTCCTTAACTGATTTACTCTTTAATGGCTAATAAACAAAAAACAAATCGTTAATATGGTGAAACGACTTAATCAGACGGATATCCCAAATGATGTGGAAAAAAAACATTATTCCGAAATCGGGAATTTTAATTTACTTTTTATGTGTATTTGTTATCCGATAAAATAAATATTTAGTTTCCGCTCATCGAGAAAAAAAATATATTTTCATACAACAACGGATATTCCAAATTCCGAAACGTAGAGAACTTCTTCTCTTCTTAGTAGGTTAATAGATACGATTTAATAGGTGTTTAAATGTTTCACCACTTAATTCTTAGCATTTTGTCTTACCTTAATAAAAAGTTGACTCTATAATAATATACTCTTTAAATAAAAAATGGCGAAAATTTTCTAATAGTATTAATATTATTAGTTTCTTGAAATTCTTTTGCTTTAACGATCAACTTTTTTATTGGATCGATTAAACGCCGAATTTGTTTATGGGGGAATTATAATAATATTTAAAGTTTTAGAGTTGAAAGTTCCCCGGATTTACAGTAGATTTACAATTTGATTTACATGTCAAAAAATGTCTAATACAATCGGAAAATTTCTCATGTAATAAGTACAGTAAAAAAAAATAGAGATTAATTATTGGACGATTTGAATGATTATATAAATAATCATATTGTTACACTATTAAAATTATATATATATATATATATATATATATATATTTTTTTTTTTTTTTTTACGCGTTTCATGTAACTATAAATATTATAAAGATGATCATTATAAACATTATTAACATTATTAACATTATTTAAAATTATTTAACATTATTAACATTATTAACATTATTGAAATTTTTAACATTATTGAAATTTTCAACCGATTATAAAATCCTCCTAACTATTTTAACCGATTTAACCGGTTATAATTTAAATTATATAAAATTTTTTAAGTTACCAATTAATTTTTATCTAATATAAACAAAACTTTTTTTTTTATTTTCTTTATTTTTTTTTTTTTTTCTCTTGTTAATAATATAGAAATTTTATTTTAATTTTAATATTTTTGTTATTGTTTATATTCAATTGATTAGTTAAAAACTAATATTNATATATATATATATATTTTTTTTTTTTTTTTTAGTTTCATACAAATATAAAAAATATAAAATGGTTCCATTAAATAAAACAAACCTTTCCAATCGATTATTGGAATTTGTTGATGATCTTTGACATAATCTCGCGTTTTATATGTTCGGCTTTGAATTCGAGATTTTCTATTTACATGTTAATCATATCATCATCATATCATCCTATCGTTATCCGTTATCATGATTATTCATCTTGGTATACATTGAATGAGATGTGTTTATATTGTTTATATGAAGAAAAAAAAAGAAAAAAAAAAAAATATATTTTTTTTCTCTAACCGAATCCAAAGTCATTCATAAAACAAAAAAAAAATTAACTTTTTTTTTCGCGCGCAGAATGCGTAAAAATTACCTTATTACCTTAATTACTTTTAATTAACACGTGCTTACTTAAAATATAACCGAACACCCATATATTCCCAAAAGAACTTCCTGGAACGTAATATTTGTTGGGCGTATTATTTTAAATGTATACATATAGCAAATTTTTTTCATTTTCCTCCTATAAAAAAAAAAATAATAAAGAAAAAATAAAAAGATGATCCTGATTATTTTGATTAAGCAAATAAATTTAATAAATTCAAAAAGGGTTTTAAAAAAATCATTCGATTAAACAAAGAAAAAAGACCGGAGGTGAAAAATTAACCAAAAAGTTTTTTCTCGAGAATTCTCAAGTAATTATAAAGAGTACAAATATTATTGAATGAAAATAAATTTGGTTAATAGCGGATTAACGTATGAAACCTATTCTTATATAGTTTCATTATGATACACAGATAATCATTAAAAAGATCGAAAAAAAATAGGAATTCAACTTCTATTTCTAATCAAAATTAGTAATAATAATAATAATAGTTTTAATAATTAATATTATGTTGATTAAATGCGCCTTTTACTTTTTTAAATGATTTTTTAATGTATGAAATCTGTCTCTTATACACATCTAGATGTGTATAAGAGACAGATGATACACAGATAATCATTAAAAAGATCGAAAAAAAATAGGAATTCAACTTCTATTTCTAATCAAAATTAGTAATAATAATAATAATAGTTTTAATAATTAATATTATGTTGATTAAATGCGCCTTTTACTTTTTTAAATGATTTTTTAATGTATGAAATCGATCGATTATTTTCTATATTTTGTAACATTCCTTTGGTTAAATTATTTTTCCCTCATTGCAAAAATTGCAAAACAATAAATCGTCATAAATAATAAATTGTTCTTTTATCGGAATTACTATGACTTTTTAAGAAAATGTTGAGATAATTATTAAATTAATTGGTGAATAATGAAAGGAAAGGTTTTTCCAAATAAGGAATAATATACTTATAATTAATGTATGATCATGTGATGAAGGAAAATCAGGTTGTTTTTCATATAGTCAATTGGTGCAAATCCTGGTAACCAAAACGCCAATTTTAAAAAAAAAATATTAAAATGCGCATAAATATTTATGCATTCATTGGGGATAATTTTCGGAAGACTTTTCCGTAAAATTGATTGAGAATTTTTTAAAAAAATGACGAATTTTAGAGAATGTTGATTTATATTTCAATAACCCGTAAATAATATTTCAATGACCGTAAATACGAAACTTATTCGGAACACTAAAATAAAATCATTGAGTTTCAAGTTATCCATTTTGAATATATGGATAAAATATTACAATACGTTTTATATTAAAATTTGATTATTTGTACTTTCGCGTAAATCGGATATTCGAAATCGGATATTTTTATGTCCGAATTTTTTTTTTAAGTTAACGAAAAAAAAAATTTAAGGTTTATGAAGTCATCAATATGAAGTCATCCCTCATTGTTTATTTGAGAAAGGAAATTTTCTTTTTTTGGTAATTATATATATTATATATATATATATATATCAAAATTTACAGTTTTCGTTGATTCATTAATATGCATGAGAAATTGAATAAATTATTTACTCCGGTAACTCCGAGAACTTTTAGAACCAATCATCTTATGACTATTAATAGCTTTTCACTTCGAATTTCGTAATTTATCGTCAAAAAAAATCAAGGAGTAAAAATGATTTGATATCAGGTAAATAAATATATATGTGCAATACTTGGGAATCGGTTTCTTGGATCGGTACATAAATTCTCCTGTTTATTATTTGGGTCTCGGGGATAATAACCTATAAAAGTTAAATTCTTTCTTACACAAAATTTATTGGGTACAAAATAACCCATTATCCTTGCAAATCATTACTTAATAATGTTTAAGGATCCCAATTTTTCTTGATTACTTTATTTGATTTTTACACCAATCATAATTTGAACACTACGCGTATCCTAAAAAAATGGAAAGAAGTCAAAACTTTAAATGAAAGACTATAATTATCTAAATTAAACTTAATAATAATCTCACATAAGCGTAAACTATAATAAACTATAATCTAAAAAAGTAAACTAACGTTACTCAATATTTCAAAGAAACATATTATACCGTATTCACTATATTCACCATGAATCATATCTAAAATAACTTTCAATATTAACTACTTCAATTTCTTTTCTTGCATATTCAATAGATTCAAAAGAAACATTATGTTGTTGATTCTCTGGTGACATTAAATCTAAATCTAATCTTTTAAGTGAATTTTTTAATTTATCACATATAATATATAAATGTTGGTCAGTAAAACTTCTACATATCCAAGCAGGAAAATTTAAAGTTTCTAAAGTTGCTTTAATATTTTCTAAAAATTGTTGTAAAATATTTATATTAATCTCTACTGCATCAATTGTTAGATGTTTTAATGATATAGGTAATGATAAAGCAAATTCTGGTAAAAATTCAATTTCTTCCCCTAAATCACAAGATAATTCTTTTAATTTATTACAAAAAGAAATTATTTTTGTTATATTAAATGGTGAAATACTTGTATCTTCAAATACTAATTTTGTTAAATGATTAAACCATGGTGTATCTTTTATTGTGAATATATTATAATCTAATAATTCATCACAATCTTTAAATATTAAAGTATTCAATTTTTTACATTTTGATATAAAATTAAGTGGAAAATTATCATTATTTGAATTGAATTTCAAATGAACAAATTCTAATGATTTTATATTATCAATTTGTGATGATAATGATGATATTGCTTTGGAAATATTACAATATTTTCCACAGCAATTTAATTTAATATGTTTAAGAGATTTTTGTCGTTTTATTAATTCACATATATTAATAAAACTTTTATCATCAATCCATTCTACACTTGGTTCTCCTATACATTTTAATTCTAAAATTTCTAAACTTCCATTAGTTCCACAAATTTTTGTTAAATCTTTTGTAATTTCTTTCCATTGATCTATTAATAAACTACATTTGAATTTTTTTAAATTTTTTAAGGATTTTTCCGCTCCGGGAAGTTTATTAATTAAAAAAAAATCTTTTGGGGTAAATGACATATCAACAAATGGTACGTAATATGATAATGTAAGATTCATTATTAAAGTACTTGATTTCATAAACATCTTGCATAATTCTCTTGTAAGTAATAATTTTTTAAATTCTCTTGTCTTACTATTATGTTCAAGATCTTCTGTCGTAACCTTAAATTCTTTAATTAATTGTAATTCTTGATAAAGCCAAGATGAACTTGATTCACAAATAATATTATATTGTAACTCACGTAACATGCTTGGATAATCGAACATTATTGACTTGTCCATGTTAATGATCTCAATTTTATTATTATTAAGAATATCAATAGATTTATAATCCATGCAAGAAATGTATACATTAATTAATTTCTTTTGGTTGATTTTCATTTTAATTATTTCTTCTTGTTCGTTAATCCTACTTGGCATTGGTTGGTCATGTGGTGAACTTTGTAAGTAACGGAAAGGATTACTCCATAATATTGGAATAATTATCTTACACATTGATCTATTCACCATTAAACACGACTTTAATGTTTTCTTATCTTCAATTGGTACATTTTTTAATATTTCTTGCCAACATTCTGTAGGTAATGTCATCGCCATAATGAATTGAAATTATTTTTTTCAAAAAAAAAAAAAAAATTTTATTTAAGGGTAAATAAATAAATAAAGGGGGGGGATGCTATATAGACTATAATAGATACTATTATATATTAGACTATATATTAAGACTATAATAGACTATATAGATGATGTAATGGTTAATCATATGAAAAAAGTTTCTTTTAACTTGTGCATGAAATATTTTGTTTTACGCGATAGACTAATTTTTAAGAGAAATTGTAATAATTAAAAGATTAACTGATCTCCAATTTACATAAACTTTATATATATTATGTATCTATTTATTTATTCGTCCTTGATTTCCAGAAATTTCAAAAATTTTATTAGTGATACCTATTAGATTAATTGTGTTAAAACTTTATAATTTATGTATTCTATTTCTATCAAATATGACAGACGACGGATTTGGTCCGTAATTGTTAAGTAATCATATTAATGTCTTATTTTAAAATAAAATTCACACGAATAAATAATAAATGATAAGCAAAAAGTTCATTAATAAACGAATTGAATTTCATAATACAACTTTATTATTGGTAATAAATAATCAAGGATTCGGGATCGTAATCGTATTATTAAGTCATATAATAAATTATAAATCTTTTTCTTTTTAAATAATTTCACACGAATAATGATAATTCTTATTGGTAATAACTTTCTTATATTAATATTAAGTAAAGTCATGTGTAGTGTGTACAACCTACAACAGTCAAAACAGTTGTTCTAAAAAACTTTTGGATCAAGAATTCAAGGAATTCTGGATCTAAATCCATTTATCCTTAAATATTTTCCAGTTTGGTTTCATGTTTTTTATCTGTAAAACTTTTAGATAAAGAATTTTTATAATGGAATCATTATTTTTCAAGATCGAACGAATCATTGAACAAATCTCCTGTTTGAGTACAAGGTACCTTGTGTTAAGAAAATTTATTGTTAAATATTTTTAAATTATAATGATTGCTTATTAATTAAAAAACATACTATAAAGTTTTCTTTGTGTACAATAAATAATTTCAGAATTTTCTATTTTAAATCATTAATACTTCAGTTATCTATCGTAAAAGCTATTTCAACGAGAGGGGGTAATTTCAAATGATTATTTATTCTTAAAAAAAATTAATTTTATTAGATTGTAAATAGATGTAAATAAATATAAAATTAGATGTAAATAGTGTAAATTTAGATGTAAAGCTACCAAGTTAGATAAGTTAGATATAAATATGTGTTAGATAAGTTAGATAAGTTAGATAAGTTAGATGGATGTAAATAAGCTACTTAAGTTAGATAAGTTAGATGCTGTAAATATGTAAAGCTACTCAAGTTAGACAAGTTAGATGTAAATATGTAAAGCTACTATGTTAGATAAGTAATAATCTGTAGTAAATAAATAATAAATATTAAAAAATCGACGTAAAATTATAACGTGCCACATGACTTTGGTTTTTATTATTTTTTATCTCTTTTAACTCTTTTAATAAGAGATGATGATAATACATTAACATTAACCCCATTATTTTCAACAGGGTTCGCTGGTTTTCTTTTATTGTTAGACGTTTCTTCTTGAACAGTACCATCATTTGGTTTAATCTCCATTTCAATCATTTCAATCGATTTTGGTGAGGTTTCTTTATCTTCAATTTGAGGTTGTTCTACTTTGAATTCTACAACACCATCATTGATTCCTTTTTGTACACATAAATCCTCAAATATTTTGCTCCAATCTTCACTAGATTTAAGAGTAATTTCTTCATTACAAAATTCTAATTCAAAGAATTTTTGTAAAGTTCTTATAAATTCTTCTTCCTCAACCATAATACCTCCAACATTTTCCTTCAAATTCTCCAATATAACGGCCTCATATTCTTCCTTTTTTAGATCTTCGCTTTTTGAACGTTCAACATTAACCCAAAAAAATCCTGCAATTTTTTCACCGGAAAATTCTCCACCAATACTAATAATCTCCCAAAATTCTTTAACATTTGTTTTATCATTTTCATCATTATCTTCATTATCATTTAAGTGATCTAACCATCTAGCTTTGGCATCATCATCAAATTTTGGTATAACATCATCAACCTTACTCTCATTATTATATGGGTATCCGTAAATCCAATCATCATTATTATTATCTTTAATAAGTGATCTTGCTTTAGATTCAGATGCATATCCTGGAATATAATACCATTTTCTTACATTCTGTAAATTATTACTAGTTGAAGTGGTAAATGCTTGTCCTAAAACTTTTTTCCACCATTTTAATAAACCCGTATCATCCAATATATGTTTTTTTAGATTATTTGATGATTTAGTAAATAAGTATTGTGGCTGAGATCTAGCAAATATATGTACATTAATATATTTGTTCCTTGGTTGTGTTTTTTCTTCTAAATGATAATTAATGTATGAAGAAATTAATTGTTTAGTAGCACTAATTTTTTTATCTTTTACAGTAGTAGAAATAATACATCCTGTAGTGTCAACCTTTGAAATATATATATTTAATGTTTCTTCTTCTATCATATAATATTCATGTGCTTCTATACTTGTCATAAGTGCTTCCTCTTTTGTTGAACTTTTCTTTTCTGATAAAAGTAGTAATATTTTACGTTCATAACTCTTTTTTTCTTGTGATTTAAAAAGTGTTTTTGGTTTAGGTAAAGTTGATAACGCGTATATTTTATAAATATGGTTTCCTGGAACCGTTTTTTTTAATGAACAAATAAGATAATCTACCAAATTACCTAAAATACAGTATATATAAACGAAAACTTAAATTGATGTTTAAAAGGTAAATTAAATTGTACTAGTTTATAAATAATTACCTTGTGTATTTTCGAAAAGTTGAGTTGAATTATTGCCAACTTCAGTTGTAATATTTATATCCATTTTTTTTAAAAAAAAAGACCAAATGAAATTATTACAACTAATAAATTTGAAAAACGGTTAAAAAAAGTCGCGAGTTGTGGAACGTGGTCCGTATGTTGTGTAACATCCTAACATCCCACGCGCAAAAATAATAATTTTTTTTTTTTTTTTACTAGCAAAACATTTTTTATCAATTCATATATAAAACTATATTTTTAAATCATGGATGAGTTATTTGCATTAAAGAACCTTTTTTATACTGGTAAAATAATTTATTACTTTTATTTATTTTATTTAATTTTTTAACGATCTTAAATTTCATAACTTTATATTGTTATAGGTTCATTTCAACAAGTAATAAATGAAGCGAATTCACGGTCTCAATTATCAGAAACGGCAAAGTTAGAACGTAAAATATATTTATATAGAGCGTATATAGCACAAGGAAAATATAATTTGGTTATATCTGATATTAAAAGTTCTGATGAGATAGATTTACAAGTAATTAAAATTTTGGCTATTTATTTACAAGCAAAAACTACTAGTGGTGGTAGTGGTAGTAACGGCAGTGTTGGTGAAGATAAAAAAAAGGAAGAAGCATTAAAAGAACTTCGTGAAGTAATATTAAGTGATCCTTCTAATGTAATTAATTCTACTGTACAAATTATTACTGGAACCATTTTTTATCATGAAGGATTATATGAAGAAGCATTAAAGATTCTTGTTAAGCATAATAAGAATCTAGAATGGTAATTATTAAAACTTAAAAATTTATTATTTATGATTATTATTTAGGAAATTTTTAGGTTTTAATTATATATTAATATATTAATTTTTTTTTTTATGATAAAAAACAGTGTTGCTTTAATCATCCAAATTTATTTAAAATTGGATAGATTAGATCTTGCAAAAAGAGAATTGGCATCCACAAAAACTTGGTCTGAAGATGCAATGTTGGCTCAACTAATTGAGGGTTGGGTTGGTTTAAGAACGGTAAAATATATTTATTATTCGAAACGCGTATTCTTTAATCATATATATATTAATTTGTTTTTTTTTTTCAGGGAGGAGATAAATACCAAGAAGCTTATTATATTTGTGAAGAAATTGCTCAATCACCTTCTTCTAATACCGTGAAAATATTAAATGGTCAAGCTGTTTGTAATATTCATCTTGGTAAACATGCGGAAGCTGAAACTTTATTACTTGAAGCTTTAAATAAAGTAGGTTATTGAAAGATTTTTTTTTTTTCTTGTTTAGAAGCTAAAAGTTAACAAAAAAAAAACTTTTTTTCAAATAGAGTAATGATGACCCGGATACTCTCGTAAACCTTATTGTAGTTTCTAATTTATTAAATAAACCTGCAGAAGTAGTTAATCGTTATATCAAGTAAGTGGGTTTAAACTTTCCTTCTTTTTGTTCTTTTTTATAATCCATCAAACTTACATAAAAAAAATATATATATATATATTTTTCAAGTCAATTAAAAGAAGCATCACCAAATCATGCATTTTTACAAGATCTTGATCTTAAATCAAGTTTATTCGATAGAGCAGCTCAAAGATTTGCACTCCCTTAAAGTAATATTATTTATCATCTAATTTATTTTTAATGAAAGGTCTGGTTAAATTTATATAATGATAATAAAAAATTTAGAATTATAAATATATGAAAGCTTTAAGGCCTTATCTATAATATGAAATACTGTACGATACATCAAAGCTAGGAGAGACTCTATAATTCTATGTCTATATAATTCTATGTGTCTATATAATTCTATGTGTCTATATAATTCTATGTGTCTATATAATTCTGTGTCTATATAATTCTATATGTTTATAATTCCCATCGTGAAAGACGGATGATGCTCTGCCGTATATATGGTATGGTTAATATGGTTAAAATATGGTACCTCATTAAAATTGACTACGGAGATTATCGTCATACGTGAATCATTATGAGTCAGTTAGACAGGATTTCAAGTTAAACAAAAAAAAAAAAATCTATTTTTACAGTATATTTATATATCGTAACTTAAACATTCGCAAAATTAGCAAATTTTAAATCTGGTCACGTAAAAAATAAAAAGGGAAACTATAAAAATAAAATCATTTTAAAATTTAATAAGTGAGAATGAGTGATGTTGACGGAGAAGGAAAACCTCTTTCTAAGAAAGCTCTCAAAAAGTTAGAAAAGAAAGAGAAAAAAGAGAATGAGAAAAAGCAAAAGGAAACAGAACGCGCAGCCAAGGAAGCGGCTGAAGTTACTGAAGTAATTAAAAAATTATCGAACTTAATTATTAAAAAAAAAAAAAAAAAGAGTATTTATTGAAAATATTATATTTTTAGGACTATGGTACCGAAAATTATGGAAAATTGAAATTGAATCAGTCACAGGAAAGGACCGGTAAGTAAATTGGTTTTCCTTGAATTCTAATAATGACGCTCATGTTAAATTAATATCTCATATGTTTCTAGGGGTTCAGAGAACGCGTATAGCCGACATTAATGCCAGTCGTGCTGGAGAAACTGTATCAATTCGGGCTCGTGTTTATACTTCACGTAGCAAAAGTATGTAAATTTTTATCATGATCAAATTATTTAAAAAGGTTTAACTAATATACTTAACAATTCATATTTGTCTCATAGGCGCTAAGCTTGCCTTTTTTGTTTTTAGACAACAAGTTTCCACAATTCAAGGAGTACTCGCCGTGAATGAGACAAATATAAGCAAAGCCTTTGTCAAATTTGCTGCTAAGTAAATATCGATAGTTTTTTTGAACATAATTTATTCATAGCTAATAAACTCTATGCACGTATAAAAGTGTTCCTGCCGAATCAATCGTTATCGTTGAGGGCATTATCAATAAAACAACTGAAGCGATCACAGGTACTACTGTATCTGATGCTGAATTACATATCAAAAAAGTAACAGGAGATTAATAAAATTTTCTTTTCCTTCTATAATTTTGGATACCGCAATATATATTTAAACCACATTTCTTCTTTAATACATAGTTTTATGTGGTGAGCGAAACTATTGGCCGACTTCCGTTTTCCCTGGAGGATGCCTCAAGATCTGAAGAGGAATTCAAAAAGGTAATAAATATTAATAATATATTCAAAAAACTTCCTTATGTGAGTCATTAATATCAGCTTTTGTTTAATTAGGATGAAGCTCAATACAGTCGCGTAGCGTTAGAGACACGATTGAATAGTCGCGTTGTTGATCTTAGAGTCAGTTCATCATCAATAATTTTTAATGATTAAAAAGTCGTGCATATACCACCGATTCCTTACATCTATTTATTTTTCTATTTAGACTCTTGCAAATCAAGGAATTTTTCGAATTCAATCCGGCGTCTGTCAGCTGTTTCGTGAATTTTTGTTGTCAAAATTTTTCATTGAGATACATACACCTAAATTACTTGGTGCTGCCAGTGAAGGTGGCGCAAATGTGTTTAAGGTTCAATATTTTAAAGGTAAGTATTATTATACGAAATGGATTATATATTATCTTATTAAAATGGTTTATTTCTGTCTAATTTAGGTGAAGCATATTTGGCACAATCTCCTCAATTATATAAACAAATGTGTATATGTTCAGATTTTGAGCGTGTATTTGAAATAGCTCCTGGTACGAAAAAGAATATTTTGTTTATGTGGTAATTGACGATTAATTCAACGTACATTAACAATAATTATTATCTATTTACATAGTTTTCCGTGCAGAAGATTCTAACACTCATCGACATATGACAGAGTTCGTTGGACTTGATTTGGAAATGGCATTTGAAGAACATTACCATGAAGTGCTTGAGATTTTGCAAGAACTACTTGTTTTTGTTTTCAACGGATTAAAAAATCGATTTTCTTCTGAAATTGAGGCAGTGAAAAAACAATATCCAAGCACAAATTTTGAATTTCTTCAAAAAACGCTTAGGTTGGAATTTAAAGATGCTGTTAAACTTTTAAGAGAAAATAATGTTGAAATTGAAGATCTTGAAGATTTTAGGTATCTTATTATTTTTATATTTGTTTTTGAGGTTAATAAAAATAAATTGTTTACTAATGTTGTGATTTAATCTTTAGTACCGAAAAAGAAAAAACTCTTGGTAGACTAGTTAAAGAGAAATACAACACCGATTTTTATATAGTTGATAAATTCCCATTAGGAGTTCGACCTTTTTATACTATGCCAGATCCAAATGATGATGTATGTTTTATTTTGTATATAACGCGTCTGTGATTCTTTGCTTATGTATATACTATATATGATAGAAATACTCGAATTCATTCGACTTTTTCATGCGCGGACAAGAAATTCTTTCCGGAGGACAACGTGTTCATGATCCAGTGTTCTTAGAAGAACGTGCTAAATCGAATGGTGTTGAAATATCCACCATACAACCATATATTGATTCTTTCAAGAGGGGTGTTCCACCGCATGCAGGTGGTGGTATAGGTGAGTCTCTAATCTCTTTCTACTTTTTTTTCCCGTACAATTTTTTAATTGGCTATTAAAATACAATTAATAGGTTTGGAACGTGTGGTAATGCTTTATTTGAATTTGGATGATATACGTAGAAGTTCATTATTCCCACGTGATCCAAAACGCCTTGACCCATAAATAATAAATTTGTAATTTTGGAACATAATTTATTAATTTACAATAATAGTTTATTTGCGATTAAAAAAAATTTTCAATCAACCAAGACATACATGCACGTTTTTTTTTATGATTATTTGAAATTGAAATAACTAATACATATATGATTTGTACTCAATTTTTAAAAGTCTATTAACATTTTCCCTCATAAATTCATTCAACTATAAAAAAAAATATCCAATCAAAAAGTAGAACCTTCTGGAGGTTGAGGTAATTTCTTATTGACTGCATTGGCCATTTCACTATTAATTTTATATTATATAAACCAAAAGCAATTGTAAATACGCGTTTAGTATAATAATCAAAAACCAGGTTTAAAAGCATATCCAAATAAATACATTACCGGCGTAGATCTACTAGAATGTCTTCAAGAGAATTAGAACTTTTCCACTGAGATAAACAACTTAATCTGGAAGATTCAACCTTATTGAAAGAATTATGATTTGTAAATTTCATTCTAATTTACCCATCTCATTAACATGATATATATATTTGAGCTTACTCACTTTTCCCGAATGTTGATTGACACATGGTAAATTAATTCTCGAAATGAAGTGAACAATTGGTGGATTATTAGGATAATTGTCATCACAATAAAGTTTCAAACTATAAATACGATTCTCGTGAATAGTCTTAAAAGAGAGCAGATCCAATTTTTTCCATTAAAAGCGAAAAACAATAAAAAAAAAATGCTAAAAAATTTTGATTGTGAATGTATGACTTACTCCAGGAGGTCCTATGATCGTGCCATTCCAATCACTCATAAATATATCTTCACCGTTTGAAAGACCGTAACTGCAAGTACCATCTCCAATCCCTTTCTCACCTTTTTCGAGTTCTTCAAGTAGTTTAAAATTACGTGGAACTGTTAATCAAACAAGAATGAATATTTGAATATTAATCAAAAATGTGAAAATATGTTTTAGATCTTTATATTGGTTTATTATATTTTTCTTTTTTATTCTACGATCGTTAAACGAACTTAACGTTATGTTTATGACTTGGTTTGAATTGATACGTTCACGAAAATTTCTTTTTTAACGCTCTTTCTTAACGTTATTATTTATTGTTATCTTGTTATTATACGAAGGGTACCTTTAGCCATTTTTTTGCAATGACAAGAATTTCAAGACGATTTGACCGTTTCAAAAGATTTGGTGAGTAGAGATTTTTTTTCGGTTTATTACAAATCTACTTACCATACCCCTTTTTCTTCGAATTCGGAAATAACTCACATGATACGATATTATAGCCCGATCATGTTTATGTAACACTTCTATCTCTTTTGGTAAAATCATTCAAGAGTATTTATTATTACTTTTTTTGTTGTATAGAATAAACTATAAAGACATTTAACAAGAAACTAAGGGATATCGGTAAATTGGTCATTTAGATCACTTCCTATTTTAGATAATATTTACTAAAAAAAGAACTAATGTAGGATTGCTATGATTTCTTTCAAAAATTTGATCCCTTATCTCTGTCGTCTATCTCTGTCAAAGCAAACCATGTAAATCCCGATACGTGGAACAAAAACAATGGTTACATGTATGTATATGTTAATTGTTACATTTATACATTGTTAAATAATGTAATAGTAAATAATACTGTAAGATAATTGCATTCTTTCTTTTAAATTATGGTTTTTGAAATATATAATTCTTAATAAATAATATTAAATAAAATAGTAAATTATATAATTGATTAAAAAAAAAATTATGTAAATCACGTTTATTTATAATCTGCATTCCTTTTCTTCTTAAACCAAGATGGGAATTGACCATCATAATTTTCATCAAACTGTTTTTTTAATTTTAAATTAGATTTATGTTTTTTACTTTTTAAATGTTGATTTCGTTCAGAATCTCCATTTACAATCACTGGAATATTATCATTAAATATTGTACAAATATCACATTGATATTTTGTCCATTTATCCAAAATTTCAAAGTCACTAAAAACAATGAGAAAAAGATTTAGTAAATAACTTAACAAACCAGATAATCAATAACAAGAAAAAATTCTTGTTTTTATATATATTGTTTTATGACAATACTCCTTATCTTTCTTTGACTTCAAAAGTTCTTTAGCTCGTGAATTGACTGAACTTGGGTCGGGTCCTGTTCCATTTGCAAGGAATTCTTTGAGGTAAGGAGTAATGCGCTAATTTCCGTTAAATGATCAAAATCATCCAAAATTGATAGAAGACATTGATACATCTAAAATACCTTTAGCAATCGCAATTGCTTTATCCCGCACTTCTTGATTCCAAGTTTCTAAAGCTATAATTAATATATTTTGCTAAGTAAAATATCAAAATTCATAAGAGAATATATATAAAAGAAGTAAGGATACAAGTTGCATCCAATAAATATATTATAATGTCACCAGAATGCCCATCGCATTTATTATTTAATGAATCTTGTTGACACTTATATAATAATTTGTTCCTTATCCATCTAACTTGAGTTCTCGCATATCGATGTGTTGCTGCTTTCATAGATTCTAAGCCATGTTGTTTTAACCCATTTAAATATGACGCGTCTAGACAAAACATATGATCAATGAGCCAGCTTTACGTTATAAATTCCAGAAATAACGAAATGTGGTTTCTTATTTACCATTAGATTCTTCAATTGCCGTTAAATATGGTTCAAATTCCTTATAACCTAAAATGTATAAAATTAAATAAATCAATTATTCGTAAACTAGTTTAAAACTTTTACATACCTATGGCTTGCCAAATTCCATGCGTAAAATCTTTATCTCCAAACGGAGTATGTATTTCTCCAGTTCTAACATTTTTTCTCAAATAATTGATTTCCTCAAAGAGTCCACTCTTAAAAGTATAATTTCATAATTACAATAATATTCTCTGAATTTAAAGATTAGTAAAATATATAATTACCTCAATCATTCTATTTATCCTTGCATCAAGTCTATGATCAAGAACTTCCAAATCAGAATATAACCAGAAAATGCAAGTACGTGGAAATCTACAACAAAAGTAATGCGTATTATGTATGAAGAATAAAACTTGAGGCATCCCAACCGAATATATACAATCTATTATCTATTCAATTTGGTCAATGCCAAACAACCTTAATGATGAAGCTTTTATCTCTGGAAGATTTTGTTGTTTAATCCATTCACTGTGCGGCTTCCCTGTTTCCAAATATACCTAAATGTACAAATAAATTACCAAATCTATATAGAAATTCTAGGAATTAGAATAAAAAATCACCTGTAAACTTCTTCGAACTCTTCTAGTATCATTCCAGTGCCATTTACTAGCCATTACTGGATCAACTTCTTGTAGCCGTTCATAAACAATTTTAGGTTCTGCGTTTAAGATCTCTTTATCTTCTATATTACTAATTTCTCTATCATCAATATTTATAAGGGAATTCTTCCAAAGTAAGGATTGTATATAATAATTCGTGCCACCAACTATGATCGGAATTTTATGGCGATTATGAATATCATCTATCTTGAATAATAATATGATGAATATGATGTAAATCATAATAATTTAAAAACTTAAAAAAAAACCGAATAAAGTAATATTATTATGGATACAATTTGAAGCGCATCTTTTGTAAAATCCGTAACACGATATTCTTGATGTGGTTCTAAGAAATCTATAAGATGATGCGGTATATTTTCTCGTTCATTTAATGGAATTTTATTTGTTATGATATCCAATCCCTTATAAACCTAGAATTCGAGTTGATTTAAGAAAATTTTCCAATAGCAATTATGTAATTTATATTTCATAATTTACCTGCATTGAATCACCATTAATAATTTCTCCTTGTAAAGTCTTCGCTAGTTGAACACCCAAGTCTGATTTACCAACACCGGTTGTGCCTACAATTGCAATAATACCTTTTTGCATCGTGTTGGTAAAAGCTGAAAAAACATTCATAATACCTTTAGTGTAAAATCGACGAACTTCAAAATTCATGTAAAGTTTAAAAAGTTATCAGATCGGAGATCTGCCGGTAACATAAAAATTCCGGGTAATTCGAAATATCTGATATTTGTATTGTGGATATGTTCAGTGGTTGTCCTACATTGTCCTACAGTACATGAATTCCGGAAATATACTGCGCCAAATTCCGGGTCCATAAAATTTTGCCGGATTTATCAGAAACCTGGTACACTGATCAAATTAGTCATGTAGATTTCGAATATGCAGTATATGGAAATCAAGTAACAAGTACTGTATATGGTATATCAAGACCAATCAAACAATACAAAACGATAACTTGTTTAGGTTACAACTATTTATATATTACTGATAGATAATCATTTCCTTATCTTTATTATTACTTTTTTTGGTAAATAATTTAATTAACGTGGAAAAAAGTTGTGCTGTACAATAATAAATAGTAAAAAAATGAATACTAATTATCATTAGGTCTTACGTTCATCCTATCCTAATTAATGTTTTAGTATTAATTTATATAGATACATGTGTATATTTGTGTATATGTTAAAAACAAGCGAATGAAAAATGAAACAATTGAGAGAAATTAGGTATTATTAAGTAATCAATAAAAATGCCAAAATAAGAATAAAATGTATGAAATTAACATGAAGTCAAGAACAATTTCCCTCCTTTAGGCTATAAAGTTAGCTCCAAGAACTACAAATATAAGAGAAATTCCTAATTGGATAGAATTTTCATTCCTTCGGGCAGCAGAAGTATCATTTTGTTCTATAGCCTGATCTTGCTTTTTAATAACTGTTACAACAGTAGTAGTCTGTGGGTTTTGTTCTTTTACAATTTTAACGGTTTGTGGAGATTCAGAATCAGAATTTTCGGGAGTTTCGGGAGCCGGGACGTTAGGAGGAGGTGATTGAGCGTTATCGGGAATTGGAGCAGTGCTAGGAAGAGCAGCAGGTGGAGCAGGTGGGGCAGGTGGGGCAGGTGGGGCAGGTGGAGTAGGGGGTTGATATTTAGACTGAGTTGGTGTAGTTTGTTTTCCTACCGGAGTTGGTGATTGCACAGTTTTTCCTATTGGAACTTTTGGTGCTTTTGCTTTTGCCTTTGGATCTTTAGCATTTGGAACAATTGGTTCAGTCGAATTAGCCGGAGCGGCTGGATTGGTTGGTACTGGCACAGTTGAATTATCTGGTGCTACAGTTGGAGTTTCTGTTTGGCCATTTGGAGGTGTTGGAGGACTTTTTTTTCCTTTTCCTTTTGCTTTACCTTTACCAACATTAGATGATTTGGTTTTACCCTTGGCGACTTCTTTTGGTAAATTAATTTCTTTTACTGGAGCTTTAACAGGGGTTTCTTCAACAGGCAGCTTTGGAGCGGCTTCTTTGGCTTTTGTTTCGCCATCCTTTGCTGCTTGAGCATCATCTGTTGCTTCTTGTGCTGTAGCTTGGCCAAGTACACAAGCCAAAGCTAGCAGTAAACCAAAAAGTGCAATAATTAGTAGTCGCTTCGTCATGGAGAGAATTTGCGGAAGTTGATGGAAGTTATTAGATTCTTGAGTACCGTTATCTATTTGTTACGGTACTATAGTTTAAAAGAATGTTAATAATTAGGCGCAGCCTTGAAGTTGGCGGTTAATGAAAGTAAGGGAGAAATATGGAAGTGAGTGGAGTAATTATAAAAAAGAATGAATTGGCTATGATTTTATATAATTCCTTGTTTATGCGGTGCAAATACTTAAATAATGATCACTGCATTTATTACGAACAAATTTATAATTTTTGGTTTACGATAATATAATTTTTTCGTGACATCGTGTGTTTTTCGTTTCACGTGTGATTTCATAATTCATGCATGTTTTGTACGTTTTGTGTCATAAAAATGCCAGGATTTAAATGCGATTTCTTTATGGCACACAAATATAAATAAATAAGATAAACCAGTAATTAATTTGTTGTTGTTGTATATGCAGGTCACGATACTTTTTTATCATCTGTTATACAGTACATACTACGTACGTAATTTGAGTGTGCAAAGAAATTCGGTTACACATTAGTTGTTAGATTCAACGTTTTTTAAAAGTTCCCTCGAATAACCTTATCATACACGAACCAAAAGGTTATATCTATAAATTGGTTCTTTCCTTATTTACACAAATATATAAGTGATATAAGTGAAAAAATAATTTAACTCATACCGGGAATGTTACCATCAATACCTTTTAGGTATTTTAATATACTATTTTTATGTTTTCTGATTTTTTTTTACTTTTCAGATTCTGTTATTTGCGTTGACGAAAATGAACATAGCTCGGTAATGTAGACATTATTGATCAATTATTATTTTCTTTTTTTTTATTAACTAATAACTTTTTGTTATTACAGTCAAATAATGTGCACGTATGTACCTCTTCAGAATATCAAAATAAGTACCAGAATTACATAAAAAAAGAGGAATTACGTAAAAAGGCTACGAGTGAAGAATTTGAACTTTCAGAACCTGAAATACGAGAACAATTGGAACAAATTAATTTGGAAGTATCGCGTGTAGATGCGCTTAAAACTTTAACCTTTGGATTATTAGAAGTTTTTGATAACATAATTGATGAGCGTGATAATGATGATTCATCTCAATCGGATTTTCAAAAAGACATTTTGAAATTGATTTCAACTTTTCATCATACTGCGTTAAAAATGAACGATACAGCATTTTTGGAACAAATTTGGAGTCAATATAATGTCCATGCAAAAAACAATAAAAACAATACTCACGTTTTTATTCATAAATCTCATGGAGCTAAAGAAATAGTTGATGATGTACTTCAAGAAGTTAGTAATTCTGCAGATAGATTAGAAGAAAATATGCGTAGACATAATATTGGTGGAGGTTCCAACTTTCGTGGATCTCTTGAGACGGTTCTTAAATTAGAAGAAGATGATGAACAAGCTGATTGGGGTAATGAAGATGAACCTCGACGTCGAGGCCATGTTAAAGCGATAACAATCTTGGATGTAGATAATAATGAATATGTCTTAACAAGACCCAGCGATTTAACCATGTTTTATGAAGGTAGGAATGAGACTAAAAAAAATATATTAATCTTAATCTCATTCTTAGATCGTTCTTAACGAAAAAATCATTTTTTTTTGTGTAGATTCTCGATTAATTCAAGATATAATTTTTATAATAGTTGCATCATTTACATTTGGTTGGACTTTTAGTATTATCGGACTACCAGGTAAATAATGATTTTTTTTTTTTAGAAAGTTAATCTCTAATACTAAATAATTTTGTTCATAATACATAGCATTTTTGGGATATATAATTGCTGGAGCTGTACTTGGTCCAGCCGGATATAACGTAATTCAGGAACTTATACAAACAGAAACACTTTCACAATTTGGTGTTATATTTATAGTATTTATGTTAGGTTTAGAATTTTCGTTCGATAAACTAAGATCTATGTGGAGATTTGCCCTTGGAAGCGCTTCATTGATATTTACGGCAACTCTTTGTTTCTTCATTTTAGCTGGATTTATTGTTGGTGCAAGCGTAAATGAATCTATTTTTATAGGAGCATGTGTATCGCTTTCGAGCACAGCTGTTGTTGAACGATTACAATGTGTAGAGTTAAAACCACTTTACGGCTTGCTTGTAATGCAAGACATGTTATTTGGTGTTTTATTGGTAATAATTTAATTTATATATTTTATATATATCTAAAAAAAAAATGTTCTAATATATATTTTAATATTTTAGGCAGCATTACCGGCACTATCAAAGTCAGGAGTAGATGTTATATTGGCTATAGGACATTTATTCTTATCATTAATAATTTTCGTAACGTTTAGTCTTGCCATTGCTAATATACCAGTTGGATGGCTTCTAAGTTCGGTTAGAGGGTCCCATAATCGAGAACTTTTCCTTTTAGGATCAATTTCAATGTGTTTAATAATGTCACAAGTATCAAATATGTTAGGACTTGGAGTTGAAATCGGATGTTTTGTAGCAGGAGTACTTATTCATTATCGTAGATCAATATCTGAGTCATCGATAAGTGTAGTCGAACCCGTTAGAGATATATTTTCATGTTTATTTTTCGCAAGTATAGGATTGCATTTATATCCAAGTTTTTTGATAAATGAAGCACCATTATTATTTACTTTAACGACGGGAGCAGTTGGATTTAAATTTATAATAAGTACAATAACATTATTAATATGTGATTATAGCTTAAATAAATCAAGTACGATGGCAATTGGAATATCACAGATTAGTGAATTTACTTTTGTTTTAGGCAGTAAAGCGAAAAGTTTTGGTATAATATCACGAGAAGTTTATTATTTATTATTAACTGTTACTTCATTATCTTTAATGGTTACCCCTATTTTATGGAATATTTTATTTAGAAGTAGAAGAGATATAAGCGGTTTTGGTGGTAAAAATAAAATGATGGTATAATTGGAAATAGATTATAAACATTTATAAAAAAATATATATATATATATATATATTTTAAAGAGGAGAAAGAGGAGAGATTAAAAAGTATAATGTGTATTTTATAATAAACTAAATTTTTTTTAATTTTTGTTTATTACTATAAAAAGAAAATTATCAGATAATAAATATATTATAGTGATTAGAAGGAACACTGTGTCATGTAAACTTTTTGGCTTTTTTTCCCTTAAAAGCAATGTTCTTTTTCAAATCATTATCCCTTCAGATAAATTAATACAAGCCAATCCAATCATCTCCAAGTTTTGCTCAAAGCTATTTTATTATAGTTCTATTTTACTAATCGTCATTTAGCAAATTTTTAATTGGTACAGGTAATAGTATAAGTATAGAAAATAATTGTATTAATGAATAACAAAATAATCTTATTACTAGTAATTTCCTTTTTCATTTTCGGTAGCAATTTGTTTAAGAGATAAGACTAAATAAACTAAACACCATGTCTTTTAGAAATTTAGTTAGAATTAATCCTGTGGCATTTAATTCTTACACAGATTACACAGAGGGTTGAAACTTGATTTCATATTTTCTGTCAGATTAATCCACCAGATATTTAATATCACTTTAATTATAAAAAGATTTTAATTGTTATACCCAATCACGTGGATTTTTCAACACATCTATTAATTTTTCTTCACGACTATTTTTTTCGGGAACGTGCATATATTCCCACCTTGCAGTTAAGGGTAATGACATAAATATACTTTCAATTCTTGCACCTGGAGTTTGCAGTCCAAATTTCGTCCCCCGGTCCCATATAAGATTAAATTCAACATAACGTCCCCTTCGTAATTGTTGCCAGTGTTTCTCTTCTTCACCAAATTTCATATTCATTCTCTTTTTAATTATTGGAACATATGATGGGAGAAAGGCATCACCACATTGCTTTATAAGAGCAAATATCTCTTCGGCAGGTTTTCTATCCATATCATCAAAGAATATACCACCAACCCCACGTGCTTCACCACGATGTTGTAAATAAAAATATTTATCACACCATTTCTTGAATTCAGGATAATATGTAACATCATGTTTATCACATGCATCCTTTAGCGTCTTATGGAAATGAATCGCATCATCTTCAAAAAGATAAGATGGTGTAAGATCAGACCCTCCTCCGAACCACCATAATTTTGAAGTTCCATCCTTATCATCCTTATTATTAATCTCAAAATATCTATAATTTAAATGTATGGTTGGTGCATAAGGATTATGTGGGTGCATAACAATTGAAATCCCTGCAGCAAAAAATGGATGAGGTCCTTTAGATGGGTCAATTTCTTTATTGCGTGATTTCATTTGTTTTACTGCCGCTTCAGGTAAATTTCCATAAACAATTGAAATATTTACGCCAGCTTTTTCAAAAACATTTCCATCTTGTAAGATACAAGAAATTCCCTCTCCACCTTGTTCTCTTTCCCAACGATCAATTTCGAATTTTTTACCATCAAGAGATTCAATTTCTTTAATAATAAGTAGCTGTAAAGATTTTATATATTTTTCCATTCTATGTCGCATGGGTGTTCTCTCATCATTATTGAAATTAACATTCTAAAATATTTAGAAATAGATAAATTGAATTATTAGCTATCCTAATATTGCATTACTATTTATAGAATTTTTGTATGGATAACTACTTTTGGTTTATTATTTACCGAAGCGGCACATTCAACTTGACCAGTTAACTAAATAATAAAGATAAATTAAATAAATTAAGTATTAACTAATACAATTAAAAATTTTATACCTGAAACCCTTTAAGACAATAAAAGGAAAGTCCACTGCTTATGAAAAAAATTGCAACTGGAATTCTATTATTTACTAAAAATTGCTTATTATTTATAAACGGTGTTCTAGTAGCATATGTAGTATATATTGCATTATTGATTTTAATAGAAGGCAATCGTGATACGAAACGCGCCAGTAAGGAAGGGAACATTCCGCTGTGAATAAAGGCAAAACAACTTTTTTTTGAAAATTTTTTTTTCCGGAAAAAATTCCGGTTTAACTACCCAAACAGCCACGTGACTTAGTACTACTAAAAAATAAAAACGCGTTTTTTCTATTAAATATTATAAAAAGTGCTTATCATGATAATACGGAAGAAGTTAGGAAAGGACGAACCGTGTTTTAAGGGGAGTTTCTTATTTATGACGATAATTTATGTATTATTTTTTAGAATCATCGAAGTATGAACATGGATATCGAATTATCGATCAATTCTGAGATGATGAAAGTTCTGAACAAAGATAAAAAAACAATTGCAGTTGTAGTTATAATTTTTTATTGTATAATTACTGATTTTCTGAATTACGTGTGAAATTTTTCCAATTTTTACTAAAAAAAACTAACAGTAAATTTATGATCATGAGAAATATTTTGGGCTTTTTTTTATCAAGAAGCATCAGTAAAATTAATATTTCCAAGATTCTGACCAATAAAATTCGTCAAGTCACGTTACCGAAAATTTTTTGGTGCACCCCTAATCTATTAATCTATACGTGTTTACATCTATATACAATTTTCTTCTTTTTTATTCATATATTCATTCGCCATGTCGGTACTTAGTGGTAATACCAATATTATTGTAGAACAACCTCGTGAAGTGCAACATTTGTTGTCTCTAAAGGTTATGAGACAGTCAAGTCCTTCAACCAGTAAAGGGACTGAGAAGAAGTCACAAGCAGAGTCTTTGGACCCTACTGTTTCGAAATCGGCGTCGAGAATTCACATGCGTGATCTTAGTGAGAACGAACTATCATCTTTGCCTTCAATGAATACTAACGCGATTGAAAATATTTATTTAGGTGCTACTTTTGACAGTTATCTTATTGTAAATAACGATTCAGCTCGGATAGCACGTGATATCAGCATTAGAGCAGAACTCCAAACGGAAAAGCAACGGTTGCAATTGGCAGACACTACTTCCAATTCAGTTCCAACCATTGAACCACATAAAGCATATGAATTTGTAATAAAACACGAGATCAAGGAATTAGGCATACACAATTTAGTATGTATGGTTCAATATACAACAGATGAAGGGGTAAAAAGATACCTTAAAAAGTTTTATAGGTTTCAAGTTTTGAATCCTTTCGCAGTAAAAACTAAAGTTAATAATATGGCAGATGGAACTGTGTTTTTGGAAGTTCAAATTCAAAACGTAGCAGAGAGATTAATGTACCTGGAGAGGATGAATTTTGAACCTGGTGAAGTTTTTAATTATAAAGATTTGAATTTTGTGGTTTTCAATGATGAAATAAATGACAAAGAACTTAAAAAAGTTAACGAAAGTATTAATGAAAATATTAATGAGAAAATCGATTTAGTTAATAAAGAATCTAATATTGAAAGTAAGGAAGAAAATGAAAATTTGAACATAGCAAACGAACAAGCAAACTTAGAAAATGATAACAAAGAGGACGAAAAAAACTCTGAATCAAAAATTGTCAAATTATCAAAAGTAAAAATAGACCAAGAGAGTATTTTTGGAAAGAATAGTTATTTAAACCCACAAGATATTCGTCAATATTTGTATATGTTAACGCCAAAACCTGAGATAGATAATAAACTTGCACGGACAACAAACGCTCTTGGAAAACTTGAAATTGTTTGGCGTTCAAACTATGGTGAAACAGGACGTTTACAGACTAGTCAATTGATACGTAAACCTCCAATACTGGATGAGATTGAGTTTTCCGTAACATCCATTCCAACTTTAATAGAACTTGAAGTTCCATTTAAATTAGGATGTCGCATAAGGAATCGAACGACGACTACATTAAAAATTACGATAATAGCGGTTAAAAGTAAAATGGGATCTGTATTACTAAGTGGCCCTTCTACAAATTATTTGGGTGAATTAGCATCAGACGCTTTCGTTGAATTTAGCTTGGAATTTTTTCCATTAAGTCCTGGATTGCAGAAAGTTGGTGGTTTAAAGGTGGTAGATAAAATTTCTGGTTATACAAAAGAAATCGATCACCTGACGGACATTTTTGTTTTATTTTCAAAATAGAAAATTTCAATATTTTGATTTTAACATTATAACATCCAATGACATAGAATCATTATTTTTATTATTATTTAATAAATCTAATACTTTTAATATTTTCTTTTTAATCTTTTTAAATAAAAATTTTCTTATTAGTTAATATTATTATTTTCTATAATATTATCTCACTCTCGACCTTGATGCACAGTCATTTTAGGTGTTTCCAAATTAGTTAAATAACCAGTAATCAGTTCATTACGGACGTCCGGCATAGTATTTAACACCAAATAACGTTTATCTTCCTATAAATTAATATTGTATTAAGAATGAACGTCAAATATTGTAAATGACATTTATATACTTACTTTAAGTACATCATGAATTTCTTCTAGCGATAATGCGCGTGCTTTCTCTTTACTGGTTCCAGTCTCGTCAGTTGCGCCATCTTCTGATAATTTGATCATTCGTGTCCTGTATTCAACAAATTGATTTTCTCGTAAAAGTTCTTTAAATTCTTTTTTAGCCACTTCAATTCTTTGAATTAGATATTTGTCAAATAGTTCTTCTAGTAATTTTTCATTCTTTGAAAGTCGGACAGAGCGTATATCTTCTTTGATAACTGACTGAATCTCTAACCAAGTAGTATCAAGCTGAACATGTTGGTCAAGTAGGTTATGATATGATTTCAAACGCTTCTGATAGATATCATCTATATGTTCTTGAAATAGTCTTTCTCTATCTTTATCTTCAAGACCATGACCATGAAAACGCGAATCTTTATGTAAATCAGGCTTCTTTAATTCCCAAGTGGTCTAGACAAATAAATAATTCATCATTAAACAAATTGAAGCAGAAAATATAACCACCATATATTACTCCTTTACCTCATGAGTTCGCACTAAATCTACTAAAAGTGTTTGGAATTCGCGTATGGATTCATCTCGCATAATTTTATTTTTAGCATTGTCTTTTTCACGTGTTTGGACTTTCTTCTCCCACCTAACTTGAGCCTCCCGATTTCTTAAGCTTGCCTCCTCTCTTAAAATAGCAATATATTATACCTTTACTAAAAAAGAAATTCTGAAAGTGGCAAAATTTCGATTTAAATACAGATAAATTCAAATCAATAAAATCATACCTTGCTTTACGATCTCTTTGTCTACGTTCATCCTCTTTCTTAGCCATTTCTTCTTCATCTTCGGCTTCTAATTTTCTACAATAATCTCTAAATATATCTTCTCTCATATCGGAAGATTCTACAGCATCATACCTTGGATCATGATCAATTATTCTCTTGACCTATATAGTGAGATAATGATTACATAACTTTGAAATAAAGTCTTCCCCTATTAAAGAAAGCCATTGATTATTTATACCTTTCGCCAACTAGAATTATATTTTATTTCCCTCGTTTCTCTCAATAACCTTACAAAATCTTCTTCGGCTTTCTTTTGTTGAACTCTTTTGCCTAATTGGTTGAAAGAACAAATTATTTAAACAACGAATATATAAAAAAAATGATGTTATACAGATTGCAAAGTAAATTCTCACGCTCGGATTCTTTTTCTTTCAATCCTTTCACGTAATTCCTGAATGTTTTTTCTTTTTCTTTGTCGTCAGAAAAATTTTTAAACCTTGGATCACGCTTAAATTTTCTCCTAAAATCATCCCAGTGAGAACGGTGAGTAGTTTCTTCTTCAAGTAATTTCAGATATTCATCTTTTTCCGACAAATTCTATTTACAACATTCATCAAGTTACTAACTGCAGTAAGACACGTTATATTGTACTAAACGTTGTTTACCTTCGCTTTATTTTTCTTTTCAGCCCTTAATTCCGCTACTCGTTCTTTGCAGTATTCATCAAATATCTCTTTTCTTTGTTTCAAAGTCGGTATTACTTAGGATTATCGCAATAAGTGGAAATGTTAGATTTTTTAGTTTTAAATTTAATTAATTATAACTTTCATACTATGACCGATTACTCTTAGCATACATGTATATCTTTCGTCATGAATTATTCTCGGAAGTTCTTTCTCCCAAATGGCAAATGGTGAAACTTCCATATCTTTAAGCAAGCTCTAAAAGTAGAAACTGCATTATTTTCTATAAATAAAAATGAGAAATTTATACTTAAATGATTTACCTTAAACATAAGTACACGTTCCTCGGACGATAACTCTACATCTTTTCCTTTGTCTTGCTTTTTTAAAATAGAGTTTTCTTCTTCGCCTGCGTTCTCGTGATCATCAATTTTATCGTTATAATCTTCGGAATCACCATCCATTAATTCTTGGTTTTCTTGTTCCTCCATAAACTGAAGTTGGAAGGCTATATCATCTTCTGTTAATCTAAATGTTTTTGTTTGTTCATTAATATTCCAATTAATTAAAATAAAAAACAATAAACTAATAATAATATACTAACTCAGTTCCTTCAACTTCGCCATCATCCACACTTCCTTTAGCTCTTTTGAAATCCTCGCTACCAGATACTTCCTCATCGTTTGCCTTTCGTTTTAATCCTGCACTATCATTTGATCTTTGATTTTGAGCATCTTTTTCTTCTTGTTCTTTGAAAACTTTGACAGCTTCTGCAATTTCTTCAGGTACTTCCCAAACAGATTGTTTCGTCTCGGAATTATAATAAAATTCATTTCCTTCAGTTGTATTAACGATATACCATTTTGTATCAGGAATTTGCCTCCTGTACAAATGTAAAAAATTTTTTTTATAAGAAAATAAATTTGGATAAAATATAAAGTGTATCTATATGACAATGTTTGATCTGGATATACTTACTTTCCTTTAGCCTTTTCTTTCTTCTTTTTATCTTTATTCTTATCCTTTTGTTGTGTAAATGGTACGTTTTGTTGTATTTGCTGTGGCATGACTCCTGAAATCGGTTGAAACGAAGGTAACTGCATAATTCCGGGAGGAGGACCAGGAGGACCAATCGGAGGAGGAGGAGGAACCAGTATAGGTCTCTCCCAAGTACTTTGACCTGTCGCAGCGTTATAATAGTAAAACATTCCATTCGGGGCACGGTGCTCAGTCCAGCCTGAAGGAAGAAGTGGACGAAAAGGCGGACCCATATGTAATTGGGGTAATTGATGCGGGCTTACAGGAGGTGGACGTTGTTGCGGATAACCAGAATGAGGCTGATCTTGTTCTCGAGGTGAGCGAGACATGTTATTAATACGAATAATGCATAAGCTTATTTTTCCGCATTTAAACCAGTCACACAGTCACATTATTTTATCACATAATTAAATCCTTAATTCCGGCCGGAAAGTATTGATTATGAAGGGCAAGTACCTGAGGATGATGATACTACAATTGCTGTAGATGAGCCAAGAAATTTCTCAAATAACACTACTTAGATCTCGTGTTAATCCTTTGGAGAATTGCCGGAATAGTAGGAATATCTTATATTCCTATTAATATATATTAGTTACTAATATAATTTTAATCGTCCCATACACATTTATCATTATCTTTCATCAAATTCATTTTTCATCCTCAACCTCAATAACATCTTGTATTTTTACAACCACTGAAAACAAATTCTTTTAAATTCACTATATAATGAACCTTTATAACCATCATTCGACCATTTTGGAGTTGTTGATGCAGATTCCCTGTATTGCAAGAATTAATCTTTTTATATATGCATGCTTGTTGCTTCCGAACTTTTGATTATCATCGTCTTCATACTTATTATTATCATCATCGTACTTGTGATTATTTTGTATTCGACGATAATCGTTATATTTGCCATCCTCTTTTCATTTTAAAAGAAAAACAGAGAATAAATGCAATGATGTTCAAAAGTCAGAAATTCTCTTCTCTTATTATTACCTTACAAAACTTCCAGCCTAGGGAAAAAAACATTATAACTTACAAAGAATTTATTTTTAAAAAGAAAGAACATTTTAAATCAAAAAAGTCAAAGAGTAAACTCCCTTTTGTAATTACCTTAAGACTATTTTCCAATCATTTTGAAACAAGAAACATGTTATACCGAAAAAATAAATTTTTTATACAAAAAATCGTTTTATTTAGTTCAATAAAATATAAAAAACAATAAAAAAAAATGAAATTATTCGACTATATACTATAACTCATAATTAGTTGATGTAGATTATGTGTGTAAAGATATTTTTATTGATGTGATGCTTTTAAAGCAATATCCTATAGTGACAAATGCGCTGTTCGATCTTCCCATAATTTGTTCTCTTACCGCTATAATCATTACTTGCTCATTTATGACATCTACGGGCAAACCGAAGTTCAAAATTCCGTAGTTTAGGATTTCGTTTATCCTTTTCAAGAATTACCTTATCTATTCAAGGAAAATCTTTTGAAATGAATAAAGTTTTAAAAGGTCAGCTTTTGCCTGCAACAAATGAATACCCTGACAAAGTAATTCTTGATATTAGACAATGTGAGATTTACCATGAATAGATAAGCTGTCATCTTTCCCTCCATTTCCAGAATCTTTTCCACGAAAACCGACTGCACTTTCATCAGATACGCAACTCGGTCTCAAATTTCTTTCCTTGAAGGCTTTACATCGCAATTGCATTTCACTTTGGAAAGTCATGTACTTTCAAAGCAGGATTACTGCATCCCACAGAGTGATGATAAGAATCGAATGAGTAAATAGCAATTTGCCCTTGGAGCTATAAGGTTAAAATTTTGATTTTGGACGTAAATCCATGATCGACGTGTTAGGAAAATTTTAAAAAAGAAATCCGGGAGTTCCTTTTCAGCATTTGATGCTGTTATCTCGTTTTCAGGGATACTCTTGACACATATCGTCTATACAAATACAAATGGATAAAAATCGCCTTCTTACTAAAATACTTGCAGAAAACCATCATAACAAATTATACTTTTTATAATTCGCTCCAACATGTATAAATATATATGTTTGTTAAATCACGAATAATACCCTTTAGCTCTCAGAATTCTCTATTATCTTCCAAAAAAATTCAACTACTCCCATTTACATTTTCTCTATATAAAAAAATTCACCTGTAAGGTACCACAAATTCCGACATTAATCTTATCCATTTCTTCCTTAATTGAACTTGACCCATTAGGAACCTTTAAAGTCTCATACTTGAGATCACTTGTGTGGCCATAATTCTAAAATAGAATTGTTTTTGGTTCTCGCAGCTAAAAAATTCCGCAATATCACATCACGTGAGATCAGATGTGATATTCCTAAATACAAACTTATTATAATTTTATTTTTTTTAAATCTATTATAAGTGAAAGATATAAAACAAGATTAATATATCTACAAAGAAACTTTACAAGCCTTGTTGGATTTGGATTTATATTGCTTAATGGAATTGTAACAAGCAAGGACAAAAAATATATTATTTATTTATTTATGATTAAAACATCCCTTCAAACAAATATAACAAGATAGCCAATAATTGAAAAATTTTCCTGATTATTATCCTCTTTCTTCTAAGATTTATCCCTCTTCTTTCTTACTTTCTTTTTCTTGAGATTGGTCAGGTTTAGGAGAAGGAATGTAATCGTAGTTCCATCCATTTAATGGAGGGGTCTCTGTAGGAATTTTCATTTGGCCGGGAAACAACATGGTTTTATTACCAAGCTGAGCCGATAAAAATAAATTTTTACTTATTTGCTCAAGTTGCATATTCGCTTCATTTAACATTCTATATTTTGCTGCCAGTTCTTTACTTTTCGCTTCACGTTTATTACGCAAGTATAATTGCCAAGCTCTTTCAATAGTTTCGTGTCTTTCAAGATCTTCCTCTGTGAAATGTGGTAAATCTGTTTTAGGGGATTCATAAAGGATACGTTTAATAACTTCATAACGAGTATCGGTAATGTTATAATTTGTTGCTCCAGGTGTCCCCGACGGTGGTCCTCGTGGTTTTTTGCTTGTATCTGCACGAAATAAAAGCTTTCGTGCTATTGAGGTTGGTAAGGATGAACGAGGAAAGTATATCATGACTAAGTTTTAGATGTTAATAATACATTATTTTAATTGGCTGATAAACAATGGTGATCACGAAGTCTTAACTGAAGTGGATTTGAAAAATTCTGTATATTATAATGGCGCAAGCACTTTTACGCTTATGTTGTTATATAATTAGGGACGATTTTGGTCCAATTATTGAGGTATTTAAATTACATATCTCGAAAATATCTTTGCACCCTTACTCAAATGATTCTTATCCATTATAGGAAGTGGCCAAAGTGTTATTACAAAAAGGTCGACTTCCATTAGTATATATTTCTAAATTTTCAAAAAAAAGTGTATCTAAGACTCGTGAATGTCTCTTTGTGCTAATTCAACATAATTTAGTATATTGGACAGAAACTAGAGAAGGTTCACGTAATTCAATTCATTATTCTATTGATCAAAATGAAGTTTTAGCAAGAGTTAATTTTGGAATTTATATAAAATACGCAAATGAATGGGTTAGACATAGGGTACATTTATGTTAATATGTTCACTTATTTGTGAAGAATTATATCTATTATTATTTTATTTATGGTAATAGGGAGCTGATGAGATTACTTATTATATGCTGTTAAATGGTAAGGGAACGTTCAATGGATTCATCGAAGATCGAAATATATCAAAGAGAACGAACAGTGAGTAAATCAAATATTTATTATATTAATTTTTTTTTATGCTCGTCCTTTAAATTTATTATCATACTTTCATTAATAGAATACAAAGAGTTAAAGATGACGTTTAAAAAAATTGTGGAAAGACGTTATCTTACACCAGTAAGAATAACAGATTCAAAATCTGCCCAGGATAAGGCATCAGAGGCAGAACAACGCGAATTAGCAAAAGTCACCAATTTTATTCCCACGAAAAAACAAATGGCTGAAGTGAAAGCTAAACTCGCGGCTGTAACTGATGATGACAGTGTTGCAACAGGATCGGTGAGACTAAGCTAATAATATTAATAGTATTGTAATTTGATTTTTATTTTCATATTTATTTATTTTCCTTATCCTAATTTTTAGAAACGTAAAATCAATTTTGATAGTATTGAACGACCAACAAAGGTTTGAATTTTTGTTTAAATATATTTTTTTTTACATATATATATAAATTACTTTCTAATCCATTTGAATTTACAGCAACAAAAAGGAGATGATCCAATTGATGTAAGTTATAAACAATTGAATTCGTTGACTCTGTTTTTGTTAACAAAAATCTTATCTTTTAGGAAAATCAATATTATCGTGTAAATTATGAAAAATTTAATGCTAAATCGAGAAACAGAGTAAGTGAAAGCATATATTGATTAGCTGTTATAATTATTTTTTCTGAAATAATTTTAATATTTGGGTGCTACAGCAAATTGTTGAATTTGTTAAGGCTCAAATTAATCAATCTGCAAGTATTATAGCGAAAGTAGTTCTTGACATTGTAGATGATGAGAAGCCAAATGATGTGGAATCATGTAAGAATAAAATAAAATTATCTTGATTTATCTGTGTCCTTGAAATAAATATACGTATTTATATGTATTTTAAATATGTTAGATGCAATATCAGCTCAAAGAATTATTAGGAGTGTTCCCATTGAAAAGACTGATTTATTTAATCAACAAATGCAAAGTGCAAGAAGAGGAGTAACTCGCGAAATTCTCATTAAACAATATTTGGATTATCTTGTGGAATATGATGATATATTACGTAAAAAAGATGAGAATATGGGTGGAATGTATATTATTCGATATAATGAAATTTGTGAATCATTGAAAAAAGAGATTTTTGAAGATGTCATTATGGAAAAATATGGATTTAAAGGAGTGAGAATTGTCAGACTCTTATACGAAAAAAGCAAATTGGATGAAAAAGCAGTAAGTTTTTTAATTTGTACAATTTGTACCTCATCGGTTTTTTAAAACTAAATATTTTTTTTTCCAGATTGTTAACATTGATGAATCCTTTAGAAGCTCGCCAAAAGCTTACAGAATTAATGAGCGGGGTTTTGTACAAATACAAGTAATTTATCAAGCTGTCAAGTTCATAAGAAATTTATATTTGTTATTAACTAAATACGTCAATTTTTTTACAGGAAGTCCCACGATCGGCAGATCGAGCACCATCAAGAACATTTTATCTATGGGATATAGATTACAAAAAATGTTATGATGTATTGTTGAATAATTATCATCAAACACTTGCTAATATACATCAAGTGAGATTTGATTATGAATCGGGAGCATCAAAGACTCCTAGAAAAGAAAGAAAAAGAAGATGCATTACGACAATTGAATAAGAGCTCTAATATACAATTATTGAATGAAACAGAAAGGAAAAAATTACATGAATTGGAGCAAATATTGACCCAATTGGATACTGTACAATTGAGAACTGTGCAAAATATTATGTTGTTTAGAAAATATAAATAAAAAATCGGGGATAATAAAATCGCTGTTGGCATGCTAATAATAACTATTATATCAATAAGCTAATAATGATTAATTATTAACTGAATTTAGAAAAATAGCCTCATTCTCAATTAAACCTTCTTTTGGGTTAGATCTGGTCCAAAAAACTATTGTTATTTAGTGACTTTTTTGGTGATTAATTGATTAATTTCTAAAATTTAATTTTCGATTTTATCATATATATGGCGCAAAGTTCTGTAATAACGATAAAAACAACGATCAAATATTTTATGAAAGGAAAATACATTGCATTAATTTTCATGTGTATTTTTGTCTTAAATATGCGTCGTTTCTTTTCAGAATTTATGCGTTGTTTCTCCTCGGTATTTGTACGTCATTTCACACCTTCTATACCATATGCTATACCACCTACCGCACCACCTATCATACCACCTACTATATCACTTTACATTCGACCTTCCGTACCACTTTCCGTATCACCTATAACATGTATCGAAAGATCTAAACAAGGTGTTACATTCAACAGAGAGTTATTTGCATTAATTGGAGGTGTATTTGTATTCTGTTCATTTGCATTAGGAAATCATTGGTACGATTTATTCTCGTGTTAGTTGTAATGAGGCAAACTATAAACAACTATTTTCTTTGTAATAGGAGCTTGAAGAACCAAATAGGTTCAGAGAAAGAAAGACAAGAAAGTATAAGCAAAGAAATTCTGGCAAAATTGAAAGAACAGGTATATCGTTTTTCTATTCTCTGAATTTCATAGTTCTAATAACTCTTCTTTTTTCCACTAATATAGAAAGAAGTGAATGAAGTAAATGAAGCAATTGAAGTAGTAAATGAAATAAATGAGGTAAATGAAGATAAATGAATAAAGAAATTTATAATGGTAAATAGATCAATGTCAATTTTTTTTGAAATATTCTGCTTAATAAGTTACAATAAAGATTTTTATGATCTTAAATCTAGTTTCTATTTGATTTTTAAAACTTAAATCATTTTATCCTTAAATTGTTTATTCTGTTGAAGTTCTGATAATTATCCCGTATTATTTCAGTTTGATCAAATTCCATTTCACTTATTAATAAAAAAAAAGTAATAAAACTTGTTGAATTATTAACCAGTTAATTAACCGATTGAGTGAGATTTATTTGGAGTTGACCAATTATCAAACTGCGCACTAGTAAAAATTTTTTACGGTTATTTTCATTTTCTTTATTTTCTTTCAACTTTCTTATTTAGCTTTAAAATATTTTAAAGAACTCTTGTAAAATACTATTTTTAACAATAAATGCATATTGAATAAAACAAGACTTAAGTAACTAAATAGTTATTCAACAAGAATGAAAACAATTATTTTTTTGTTTGTATTTGGTATATACTGAAATAAATAATAGGAATATCAATAAGAATATTAAATAGATGTGTTTTTTTCCTAAATATCATTTCTTCGCATGCATGTACATTGTACAGTATATTGTTTTGATAAAAACAAAAAAGAAAGTTATTACATACTATTCAAAAAAGAGCATTTTCAGGATTTTATGATTGTTTACTGATCCACTAAAGGTATTAGAGAAAAAAAATGAATAGTGACAGGAAATAGGAATTAAAATGTAAAATATTGTAAAATATTTGTATGTAGAATCAATTATTACTAACAATTTTTTTTTTTTGTATTAAAATTGATATATATAATTAAGATTGCAAAAATGGTCCTAATGGTGATCTGGCAACCACATCAGGAAATTGTTGATTGAGTGCTTTTATGAGATCTATTAATTCTTGACGTGTTTGATCTTTCAATTGATCTTCAGGTGGAGAAAGAACTTGAGCAAAAATGTTTAAAAATTCCGGAATGTGACTTAACACCTAAAAGTAAATTTTAGTTAATTTAATACGTTATATTAATTGGCAACTACCAAATTTAACCATTATCTCAAACTTACATAAGAATTATTTGCACGGAAAAGGTAAAATATACATTGAAAAACAGGTTCATTTTCCTCATAATCTTTTAATGGTAAGGTACGAATTATTACTTCTAATACCTATAAAAATTAATAGGTTATATTTCAAACCCGAAATCAAGAGTAAAAAAAAAAAGAAAAAAATTATTTTGATAACTATAGTACCTGATCAATTGGAATTACTTGAGAACATTTTATTATCATTCGACATACTGCCCCGCAAGCGTTATCAGTAACATTTAGTACGTATTTCCCAGTAAAAAGTGGATAAATTCGTGTAAGAATTTCATTATATTTACTATATTACATTGTACTAGAGTTATTACTAGTTGATAATGATTTAACAAAAATAAGTAAAAAAGAAAAATTACCTGCTGATATCGATTGTAGTATATTGACAAAGAACGCCAATAGCAAAAGCAGAATTACTCCTCACTTCTTCCTCTTCATCGCCCAAAGCTTTAAGATATAATGATAATAATTGCTATAAATTAATAATAAAAAATTTTAATATTTTTCCAGTGACTTTTACTGTGTTATTCTTTGAAGCGTGCTTACTTCAGTAAACTCTGAAATACCGGATTTAAGACCAATAGTGGAATCACCCAAGCATCCAATAGCCATAGACCTATCAGAAACTGGCTTAGACCTTTTCTAAAACCATAAAAATAGATTAACACAATTAAAAATACATAAAGTGTATCGAATTGAATCTGTAACATACATAATATTTAGTTATATGTGGAAGGTACACTTTGAAGTAAGAAGCAAAATCAGGACCAAGAACTAAAGCCAACGCGGCAACAAAATCTGACGCAACACTAATTAAAAGTGCATCGTATTCTGCTTCTTCATCCTCGTCTATTAATTCATCTTCATCGTCATTATCAAGCTGGCATAAGGCTCTTTTCTCATAAAGAGAGAGTATGTTTTGAGCAATAGGATCAACATCTTTTATTTACCAATTAATATTTAAATATTTAAATATTTGTTATAAAAACTGAATATATATAATTATAAGCGGAAAAAAAAAATTCTTACAGTCTGCAATAATCGCGGGTCCACATTGCTTAAGTGTGTCGATAAATTCTTGATATAATTGCACTATTACCATTCTGCATTAAAGAATTACGCGTATTAGAATAGTAGTAATAAAGTTGGCACTTAGAAATATCTTTATGATAGTAATCAGTATTAAAATGTGGTATCATATTTTAAATCAAAATGAGCTGGGTTAAATAGCTTTATATCTCATCATATAACTAATTATCTCAAATTTTCAATGTTCTGGAAACTCACTTGCTTTCTTCATCGTTCACTATTGCTAATATTGTCGGCATTACAGTTTTTGTCATATTTTGCACGTTTTCGTGGACAGGCACTTTCTAGAATATAAATTTTTTTGTAAACGAATATAAACGAATAATGAAAAAAATTAACAGATAAATGAAATGTAAACAATACCACGGGTAAACCAGCTTCCCATTGAGTTGGATTTGACATACTATAAAAGGTTGTCAAAAAACGGAATAAAGATGATACAACTGATTTTCTCACGCCTCCCGAATGATGACTGGCTAGTTTCACCAACTCTGATATTGATGCTTCAACATAAGGAAGAAAATTGGATCTTGTATTTTCAAATATCTCCCCAATAACATCAGCTGCTATCTCTTTTTCATCAACAATAGCCGAATTGATAGCATATTCCGCATCATCATCGTCATCATCATCAATATCTATATCTGTCGAAAGATTTTCTTCAGCTAGGTACATTTAAGATAAAAGTTCTTAAGAATTAATTCGTAAACAGATATAACTATAAGCAAAATAAATGAAAAATATATACCATCAAGTATAAATGGGTCAAATTCTTCCAATTGACAACTCTTTAATAATTGAGGCACAATTGTGTCTAAATATATATTAAATTCTTCTCCGAATACACGCGCCATAACTGCAAACAAACAATAACTACATTCGCGAAGACGTGCATGATCCAAGTGCGTTCCTTCAATTGCCAATCGCATAATCTCATTGACATGTGGCTAGGAAATGAATACAATGTTAGCTGTAATGAAGTATAAATAATATACGGTAGGTAATCTATGAATTTTATTATACCTGAATTAATTCCTTGCCAACTGCTTCAGCAACTGAACCTACAGTGTCGGTAGCTATTCCTCGTAATAACATGTCATCATTGTTTTTATTTAATGTCATCAGCACCAATAATCTACTAATTACCATAGGAAAGTATTGCTTAAATTCCTAATTAAAAGATAAGTAAAACATTATTATTATATTATTGATAAAATATTATAAAGAATAAAGAAACTTACACTACCAGCAGCATGAGCTGCGCTCCCAATAGCTGCTGTAACTGTGGTCTTTACTTCATTAGGACCATTATCCAATAAAAGTAAAAGTCTTTCCATTAAAGTAGGCAAGTATTGCAAAATTTCATCATCCAATCCTTCTAAAATAGCATCAAGCGCATTACATGCTTGCTTTGGAATTTCGGTGTTTGGATCGTTCATGAGATCAAATAACAAAGGTAATAGTGTAGCATGGTTGGATGCTATTTCTTGATCTAGTTCCTCTAAATGTACAATATTCTTTAGGTTAATACTATAATTACTAAACAAAACGTAAAATAATATCACCAACCTGCTAAACAGCCTAGTGCAATACATGCGCCTCTACGAACAATTGTCTCCGGGTCACGTAAACCATTACATACAAGAGGTAATAAGTCATTAAACTTCGGACGCATATGATCAGAACATCCTTCAATAAGAACCTTTTCACAAGTGAAAAGTTAGCATTTGCAATAAATCTCTATTATATTAAAATAATAAGATATTAAAATGTACCGCAAATGCCATCATTCCTGCTTTTCTGAATTTCGGGTCGTGACTTTGAACATATGTAAAAACGTTTTCCATGACAACAGGAAAAACTTGCTGAGGCGGTAATTTGGTGGATAAAGAATTAATAACTCTGAAAGCCATCTATTTAACAAATTATTAACTCAACATCAGTCCGCTCGTTAAATAATATTTTACAAAGATAATATAATAAATACTCTGGAAGGCGACTCATCATCTTGATCATCAGGATCATCCTCGGCCCCAATTGGCATCAATTGTTGAATAATAGGAGCAACGAGTTTTAACTTTTGAATTTTCGTTTTCTTACTACCAATGCAAATACCATAAAATTAAATACAATTCGATCATTGCTACAATTATATATTAATTCTTACTAATTAGTAACCCAGATAAGAAATTGCAAGGCCATAACTCGAACTGAATCATCATATTGATTATTACGTGACACTATCAAAACAAATTCAATAAGCTGTTGCAAATGATTAGATAAAAGTGGCGTCTCCTACAGGTAACATTATTTGAATCAATTATATTGAGCAATGATAGGCGAAAATTATAAATCAATTCTTAATTCTTATAAATAATATATTTCATAAATAAATAAAGTTTTACAAACCAACAATAACAATCCATCAAATAGTTCAAATCCTTTAATGGCTGAGTCATTATCACCTTGCTCTAAGCATTGTTGAATTACATTGACCATTGAAGGTATTAAATCGCGAAATAATTGCTAATCGAATTTTTTTTTTGTTTTAGGAAAAATTTTTATTAATATAATAATTGAAAATTAAAGGTAATCAACTTCAAAAAAAAAGGACCAATCAACATACTATGTCCGCTTTACTACTAGGATCAATAATTTCGGCAACTTTCCCTAGAGCCCTAAATAAATTAAGAATATATGTTACAAATTCGATTTTTATATTGAAGTTGCCAGCCATTATATTTATTATTACGAAAAGAAAAATGTCTTACTGCAACGTAGTTACGCGCACAACCTTGCTTTCAGGGTCATTAAGAGCTGCGCCAAACAACTCAAAGAGTTGTCTTAGATTATCCTGAAATGCTTCTATGATCACTTCAAACAAAGTATATAGTACAAATATTCCAACCTAAATGCAAACATCTTAGACAAGAATTTTACAATATTATTAACGACTTAATTAATTTACCTCCCGGTGTCCAGCGTTAGGACTTTGGCAACATTGATATAAGAATTGAAGCAAATGATTCCACGTGCCAGCTGGTATTTCAATTTTAGCAATAGATGAAATTACACGTGCAGTAGCATGTCTTACAAGTTCACTATAAATTAATCAATCATTAACCTTAAAATAAGTAACTTAATAAATTTAAACTCGCGTATCGCGTAATTTATTAAGCTTACTGAGATTCCCGCAAAATAACCTCGAGTAATTGATTTTTTATAGCTGTTTGTGTGTTTATATCAATCTTTGACCACCATTTTATTGATCTTTTTCTTAATTCAACAGCTGCAAGTTGTCGCACCTAAAACCATTATTATTGTGATATAAATATTGTATTTTAAATTTTTTTTCTTTTTTTCGTGAGAAAATTAACTTACAGACCTGCCAATGCGTAGAGGATGATAGAATTTGTACAAGTGCAGCTACACAAGTAGAAGAACTATAAAAATCGTTATTCAAAGTAGAAGTAGCCTTTAAAACAAAATGTGAAACAAAAATGAAAAGAATATATTAAAAACGCGTGAGAGACAAAAAAAGCAACAAACTTTAGTTGTCAACATAACAGTTGCGTACCGTTCTTATTCTTGCTGTATCAGTATCACCAGAAACTAATTGGTTAAGGAGTTCTTCTAGTCTTGAAACAAACTCTTGATACTACGTTATAACGCGTTTTAGTAAGGTTAAATAAATAAATTATACAAAAAATCTCATATCACTTTTAAACCAAAACAAACCTCCATTTTTTATATCTACACCAAAAAGATATATACAACTAAATTCGTAAAAGAAGAAGACTTTTTTTTTTTAAAAAAAAAAAAAAAAAAAATTTNGCATATCACAAATCAACGATTTAAATTTTTAAATTTGGATCTCTGGCCTGAAAAAATAAGTATAAGGAATAAAGTCACTATTTTTAATTTTTTTTTTTAAAAAAAAAAAAAAAAAAAATTTTGATAAAATCTCGATTCACCAATTAACTAAATGAGAAATAATTAATGTAAATCAATCAGAGTCAGTAATATACTAAGTATATTGAGTATATCAATCTAACATTCACAGTTAACGCAAAAATATAGTAAGACAAGAATGGTTAGACGAATAATCAATTGATAAAAAGGTTTAGAATTCCGGCTATTGTCAAAGAAGAGTGATATTGGGGAACCTATATGACGAAAATGAAATCAAATTTCAATATCACAAGCTAGGTTAATAAATTTTATTACTCAAACAATTATTTTCTTTCGCAAATTACTCAATTGATTAAATTATAATAATTTTTCTGCTTTTAAAAGACTTGAGTTACTTAAGTGTGAGAGATAACAATTTTATGGTTCTTTTGCATTACTGAATAATTAGAACATTTAGCAGATAGTTAATTTGTTATACAACTATAACTCACGAAGAGTAACTGCAGCAAAAAACCGGAGGGAGTTATTTCTTCCAGTTCGCCCAAAAGTTAATTGGCAAGAGAAGTTAATAGAAATTAGAAAATAAATCAAGAAAAACAGAGGAGGCAAAGGTTGAAGGTAAAAGTTAAAGGTAATAATTACGTGACAGTGATCATAGGAGAGTCTTGAATTATCTTGTAAAATCAAGCAAAACAATTAATGATGGATGCAAAAATCCTCATTTAAGAAAAGAATTATTCTCAAATTCTTAATTTCATTATAAATTAGACAAGTTTAGAAAGTTATCCTTAGATTAAAAGCATGATTATTGTAAAGTATATTGCTCCGAAATTTGTTTAATTTAGAAATTAAATGCTACCGAATATTTTAGAAAACGCGCCAGTGAAAGATATTGTTTACCATATTTAACCTTCATATATTAAAATAGTCCTTATGGATTACTTTTTCATTTGCTTATCCTTTTGTTTTATTATATCCGGAATTATATCTGTTGAAATATTTGCTGTTGTTCCACCTAATCTTTTTATAACCAATTTGGGTCTTGTTCGATGAATATGATCGTAAACACATTCTAAACCTGGTTTCACGTCATCAAATGTTGAAGGCCTGCCGTACTTTTCATCCCAAGTATGAACTAATTGAAAACAAAAATCAGTCCCACAAGTTCGTTTCAATCGAATCTTGCATTCTTCACATTGAATAAATAATAAATTGCAAGTTTTGTTTCTGCAATTCGTATAAGCACCACATGGTTTGCCACATGAATGACACTGAGAAACAATGTCATCCGTAATTGGCTCGCCAAGGCGTTTATCGAAAGTAAAATTACGACCTTTATACAAGGAAATAATTGATGGGTTTTCCATAATAAATCGTCCATATGCTGTAATTCCTCCTTTAAGCATGTAAACTGATTTAAAACCGTTAGAAAGTAGTATAGCACCTGCTTTAGAGCACCGAATGCCACCTGTTTAAACGGGTGCAGTAAGTTGTATATCAACAATTATGAAAATTTAATTATTATGTTACACTTTCGTACCAGTACAATACATGTAAATTTTTTCATTTTGTTTTCCCTCACATATTTCATTCATAGCTTTGATACTATCACGGAAAGTATCTACGTCTGGTCTTATTGAATTAACAAAATAACCAACTTCGCTGAAAATTGAATCCAAGAGTTATTCTAAATATGATTAATAATACACGAAATAATGCATTCTTGCACTTGCCTCTCATATTGATTTCTCATGTCTATTAAGATAGGAGATTCTTTGGAATTGGATAATACTTCATGCCATTCTTCTGGAGTTAGATAAACGGGTTGTTTAGACAGATCATATGAGCCAGATTCTAATCTATCTGCAACAATCTTACAATCAAATCATTAGTTTAAATTTAATTGTTGACTATAATTTTTTACGTTAATTCATCACAAACCTGTTTCCTAATTTTAACATTTAACTTTCTAAATGCTTTTACATGATATGTTGAGAAGTTGAAATCAGTTCCTTTTAAATTTAATTCTTCATCGCAATATTTTCTTAATTCTTCTAATTTTTCTTTTGGGCATGAAACCTGTGCATTTATTCCTTCAGTAGCAATATAAATTCTTCCAACTAGTCCCATTTCTTCAAGTTTATTTAACATATTTTCTCGTAATTTTTCAAGAGAGAGCTGAACGTTCAAGTTAAAAGAATAAAATGAAAGGGTCATCCACTCATTAGGTTCTATCGCAATGTTAGTGTTATTAGTTGTATAAAAACGACAACATCCATATTTATAATCAAAACGTCTAATTGAATCAAAAGTTAAAGAGCAACTTTTATTACATAAAGACGAATTTAGTCGAGATTTAACAACTATAAATTTGTTTAACAGTAAAGTTTTATTACGTAAAGGTTTTATAAAGGAACCATATGAAAAATTACAAATAAGAGCACCACGAAACGTTTGCAAACTCCGGGAAACGTAAACATTCATGACCAAAAATATAAAAAAGTTGTATAAAAAAAGTAAGGAAGAAAAGAGTGAAAATGTGAGGATCAAAGAATTTTTTATTTTGTAAAAAATTTTTTAGATGACTTATTTTATTGGTTGATAATTTATTAGGTAATATCTAAACTATAAATCCACCGAAATTTTCCTTTCGTGATAACTCAAACTTTATCCTTCAATATTTTAGGTGTTTGAACATTCTCGCATATATATTAAACTTTTTATTTAAATTCATGAAAATACAGCGAAGCTAGTGGAAATTGTTATTCTCGGAAAAAAAACCAGACTAAAGTAATTAAGTTTTACACGATCAAAGATAAACTTGAACAGAGTCCCGTCACGTTTTTAATTTTAGATGCATTACGGTATAATCCTATTTATAAATAGATTCCATCTTCAGGTTCTTCCATTTCCTCATTTTGTACGTTGATAGGAGCATTGTTATTATTGTTCTCTTGTGTATTCTCAACTTGTACCGTTTCTGTATTTTCGATTGTTATACAATTATTTCCATTTTGTTGTCTTTTCTTTAACAAATCCTGAATTATCCTGATCTTCTCTCGATGTCTATTCAAAAAAAAATTAGATTACATTCTAATAACAATGGATATATGATTATTACCTTGCGATAAGGTCTTCATTCTCTTTTATTGCCAATTGAAATTCTTTGTCATTCTCATCAAATTCTTTCATGTCTTCATTCGATCGAACTAAATGAAATATAGAATTTTCTAAACGTTGCTTTTCATAGATAAGGCTTTCTACACTAAGTGCATCTAGTTGAGATATTGTAGGTTCAAGAGGCGGTAGTGAAGCCATATTAAAACGTAACCTTTTGATTCAGAAGTTCAGGAAACGGGTATTAATAAACCTGATTTCCCACATGATGTAAAATTTATCAAATTCGCTATATTAAGTAAATAAATAGAATATCACTTTTTTTCCGAACGATATATTTTTATCACGTGATATCGAAAAAATATAGGTTAATTAGTTTCAGGTCAACAGGTTATATCGATGTTACAATGCCAAATTGCAATTGCTAAACCTGACCTGATAAATTCAAGTCGTTCATGCCTTGTGAGTTTTGATAAAAAAAAAATGAAATATCTATAGCACAAGTTAAACTCGACCAAATTTACAGTGGCTTTAATTAATTAAATCAAATGTGTAAGACCTTCAATTTGCCATGTGGTGATCAAAAAGTTTTGCACATTAAGTCAAGTCAATTAAATTACTCCAATAAAATTTTCTCATTTTTTTTAAAAAAAAAAAAATAATTTTTTTGAAAATGTTAAAACGTAATAATTTAAAATACATAGTATTAGCTTTAGTTACACTTGTTTGCTTTCATTGGGTATTAACGGTAACTAATCCCAAGTCAAGTTATTCTAAATCATGGTCAGGGTTGTCGGAATCTGAAATTAACGGTGAAATACTATTACAAGATGACATTAACAATACCACTTCATATCAAATTGGAAAAGCAAAAGCTTGTTTTGTTATATTGATAAGAAATGATGATTTACATGACTTTAGATGGACTATGAGACAACTTGAAGATAGATTCAATCACAAATATAATTATCCTTATGTATTTTTAAATGATGTTCCTTTTACTGAGGAATTTAAGAAATTGACCAGTGCTCTTACTAAAGCTAAAACTGAATATGGTAAGCAAATTAATTGTATTCAGTTATTAAATTAATATTACATGTAGAATATAAATTTGTATTGACAATTCATTAGGTTTAATCCCACCCGAACATTGGAATATACCAAAAGATATTGATATGGAAGTTGTTAGGAAAAATATGGAACAGATGAAACTTGAAGATGTTATATATGGTGATAGTATACCTTATCGTCATATGTGCAGGTATTGATTTTCAAAACATTATTCTTCGGTTAATTCGTATATTTCGTATTTTAATAATTTTATAACTTGTTTTTTAAGATTTGAGACAGGATTTTTCTTTAGACATGAATTGTTAGACAAATACGATTATTATTGGCGTGTGGAGCCTAACGTACAATTTTATTGTGATATCGATTTTGATCCTTTCATGTATTTAAAAGAAAATGATATTAGATATAGTAAATATAATTTTTTTATTGATTTATAATAACCTCTTATTATACCAGTACAAATTAATTCAATTTATTTTTATAGGTTTTGTTATATCATTATACGAATATCCAAAGACGATTCCAACATTATGGAACTCTGTTAAAGAATTTATGGAAAAATACCCTGATTATATTGAAAAAGACAATTTAGTAGATTTTATCTCAAATGATGGGGGTGAAAATTTTAATTTGTATGTAATCACTTTTCTTGATAGCTGTATATTACCTCTATTTACTTAAAATTGTTATATCAGATGTCATTTTTGGTCAAATTTCGAAATTGCGGATTTAAATTTATGGAGAAGCGAAGCATATATGAAATTTTTCGATTTCCTTGATAGAAAAGGTGGATTTTTTTATGAACGGTAATCAAACTTTATTTTTTAATCCAATTTTAAAAAGTATAGTGATGTACTAAAAAATGATCCGGGATTTCTTTATATATGTAGATGGGGAGATGCACCGGTACATTCAATAGCCGCAGCATTATTTTTGAAAAAACATCAAATTCATTTTTTTAATGAAATTGGTTATAAACATGAACCATTTATGCATTGTCCAGAAGATGCATCTCTTCAATTAAAATGTCATTGTAATCCAGATGACAGTTTTGGTAAGAAGATCGTTGGTTTTTAATCAAGTTACTTTTTCCTTTATAAAGTATTTTAACCAGTTTTATGTTTCCCTATATTAGATTTTCAAGGTTATAGTTGTACTAAAAGGTTTGTGTTGAAATTACTATTTACATGAATATTACTTTTATACTAATATTTATTCTATTTGTTATAGATTTCTTGAATTAAAAGAGTATTGGAATGTTACTGCAATTAAAAATAGAGGATAATGTTTCAAAATTTATAAATTTATTGTATAATTATTAGTGTATTTTAATTTCTACTGTATTTCATAATTTAACTAATATTTTAAAAAGCTAATTTTTCTGAATAGAACGTTGATTATTTCTTTATTAATAAAAGTAGTACAATTTTAATATATATATATATGTGTGTATATATATATAAGACTTGAAATAAACTGTTTAAAAATAATTTAGATATCACTTTATACAAAAAATTTAAAAGGTCTTAGTATACCAATTTATGCGCTAAAATCATCGACTTTTAATGTTCTTTTGTGTTAGAAATTAAAACAAATAAACGTTATTAAAGAATAGTAAGAAAAACAAATATAATAGAGATAAATAAAATATTATATGAGTAAAAACAACTTAGAACCCATAATCTATAAATGTAAATATAAAATTTATTTATTTAAGTTTAAGGTTCATCCTGAAATATATTTATAAGCAATAAAAGCTACAAGAACTCCAAGCGGAACAAGATAATTAATCACACTGCGAATAAAATATTTTAATTAGGACATGTTAATTTTTAATATAAAAATCATTCTTTATATAACTTACGAAGATGATGTCTCAGGTTGTGGATGTTTAGGATAAGAATGTGTTGGAGGTTTTTGCGTTTGTGGTTGGGAACCCTACTCATAAAAAGTACGATAAAAAATAATGGATAAGCAGAGTAAAAAAAGAAGAAAAAAAAACCTTAAAATCTTATTTATATTTAAAATCAATAAACAATATTGTTTTAACCATAATTCCTATATATATATCCTAATTTATTTCTTTACTTTAAATACATACTTCTTTTAATACACCAATTTCAAACCCTTTCAAAAGTCCATGAGCTTCGTCTGAATGGCCAACATCTTCAAATGCTTCAGTTGCGTCGCGGCCAGCTTCATCAAGAAGTACTTCTTCCCCACCAGGATGCTATCGAATGCCATAAATGTCATAAACAATTTTAATAAACAAAATCACGCAAAAATAGGGCATCTCTTACAAATTCGAAACTTACTTCGTCAATGAATTTTGTTACATCGTAAACTTTGCCTTTAATAGAAATATACAAAGATGCTTTAGTGTTATGTTGAGCGAGTTCGTCAATAGTAAATTCTTTATTTCCAGACATTATGAATAAAGTTCTTTTTTATTGATAAGGTTTTTAATAAACTAATCAAGCTAATCGTAAAAAGAGGTGCCTTTTATAAGATGTAGTCGGTGGTACGAACGTGGTCGATAATAATTGATAGATGATCGGTAAAACAATTATCAGTTTAGCAAAAATACTTAAAATACCCGATATTTGATATATTAACCAATCGGAACAATAAACATATCATACGATACTTAACTAATCTTAAGCGTAATATGAGTTAAATGAGATTATGGAAGATGATATCACTATTCATAGTTAAATTTTGTTACATTATATAAGTTAAAAGATATTTTTCAGATTTTCTTAAATCCTAATAATAATGAAGATGAGTTAATCCAATTATAATAAAATAAATAAATTCACATGGTAGAGAATATATATGAACTGTTTTAATTAAATAAATCACGTTTAAACACGTTTAAAATGAATTATGTCTAAAAAGTAAATTCATTCAGCAGGTTGACAAGAAATTAGATATTGGCTAAATTTGGACAATCACCGGCAAATCAACCACTCTTGGACTTTGGACTTTCGTATTGGTCTCCGATTACATAAAGATATATATGCATGTATATATATACGTATGTACTGGAAATTATTTAATATTAGAGAGAACGTCGCTGGACGGCAAGCTTCAAATCCTTATAATTTAATAAAAACCGAACGGCCCGGCGGTCCGCCACTTTACCCTCCCAACCGCACCAACCAGTGTCACATGCGAAATTAGATCATCGTACTGCAGTAAAATAAAATTTAACAACAAATAATAATAAGTAATTTTTAACATTTACAGTATGAATTTACTTAAGAGTTAAGGCTTGTTCTATCTATATCACGAGAGTGCCAAAATTACGCCGTAAAGTGAAAAAACTAACCGCCCATAACAATTTTACTTAAATTTCCTGGACTTATTCATTTTAGCTAATTACGCTAAATAAAAGTAAACAGTAATTTTCAATTAATAAACATCTGTTTTTTACAAAAATTTAATACTTGTTAAATAACTCTACTTAGTTTCTTAAGACTTTTTTCATTCGACTAAAAGTGTTAATATTATAAAATCTATAATTTTCTGTTTAACAAAATCCCCCCCTCCCTCTCCTCAAAAATTTAGATAGACACCAAAAGAGCAATTTTTAATCGATTTCTTTTTTATCTTTTTCCTTCCCCCNCATACTTTCATAAATTTTAATAGTAAAAAATAATTTGTAAATTATTTTTGGCCCCTCCTATCCTTCCAATTTATAATTATATATGGTATTGGAAAAGTTAATTTAGTTGATTTGGGTCCGTTTATAGCGTGATATTACCAAACTTGTAAGAATTGGAAGTTTCCAATCTTCCAGTGCACATCACTGCTTACCTCCTTGGCGCATTAGGTAATAAATCTATCGCGCCATCAAGATCTGTGACACGGCACATGAGTATCCACATGAATGGTATGATTACCGAAATGTAATATTGTTCTTTTTTTGGTAATAATCACACGAGTCAAGGATCACGATTCGATCAAGTCGCGTGCATGATTTGGCTGAACAGCGCCAAAGATTTAAAGATTTAAAAAAATCCTTTTGTTTTATGTGATCTTTTATAAAAAAAAATGGTCAATATAATCTTTATATTCGTATTTTTTACTATTTTATTAATTCAATGTTCCACGTCATTTAACCCGCAAATTCATTTCAGCATTAACAATAGCAGAAAATTTGTTAAAGACATTACACAATGTCCAAAACTAAAGCCTCGTCAAACTCCTCCTAAAAGTGTTCATGATTTACGTATTGACGATATTAAAGTTATAATGGCAATAGGAGATAGCATTACAGCAGGATTCGGAGCAAAAGGTCATCATGCAAATATACCAATTGATATTCATAATCTTCATGAAAATCGTGGAGTAAGTTTTTCTATTGGAGGTGATCCTGGTGCCGTAACTATTGCCAATTTTATAAAACATTATTCACCCGAGTTGATAGGATCTTCTACTGGAGATCATTTGGTTGAATTATGTTATGGTAAATTTTACACATGATCAAATATTTTTTCTAAATTCTGACGCGAAAATAAATATCTTTATTTTTTTCTTTTATTAGGTCTAATTTGTCCACCATATCAATATAAACCTAAAAAAGATAGATTTAACGCAGCACAATCAGGAATGATGGCATCAAATCTTACAATAGAATTAAATTATTTATTAGATCAACTTTATAAAGAACCAATGGAAGTTGTGTTGAAATCATATAAATATCTTACTTTTTTTATTGGATCAAATGATATTTGTTTTAGATGTTCAAATGATCTTCCATGGTTAACATCAAAGCAGTTTGAAGATTACTTAAAATCAACGTTAGAAATCATTAGAAGAGAAATACCAAATACAGTTGTAAATCTTTTAGGTGTATTTAATGTTTCTCAAGTTTATAATTTTCATAAGGAAGAATATTGTAAAGGGTGGGGCCTTGTTGCCGAGTATGAATGTTCTTGCGCTTTTGCCCCAGGTAAGTTCTTACTTGTTTCTTGCAAAGACTTGTTGTGTAAGCTAAACAGTATCAAAAATAAAGGAGAACTTAAACGCCGAAGAGATACAAGGCGTCAAGCAATTTAAAGCTTGAAGATAACGAACGACATAATGGAAACAACTTATTGAAGAAATACCTTTATTTATAAAATAGGGATATTTGGAACTCTTAATAGAAAGAAAATGGACGAGACTTCTATGGAATATAACAAAGCTATTAGAAACGTTGTTGATTATTATGCTTCACATAAAAGTGATTCATTTGCCGTAATGTATCAAGAATTCGATATAGATTTAACAACTTTTCCTGTCGAAGGTTTAAGTAATGTTGATTGTTTCCATCCAAGGTATGCGTTTCTTTTTTATTTTTACATTATATTTAAATTTATTATCTCGCTAAAAATCAATTTCATTTTCATGTGTAGTACAAAATCTCATGATTTTATCACTAAAATTTTCTGGAATAATCTTGTACTTCCCGCGAGTAAACGTGGTGGTCGTATTGAATGGGAAGATAATGTCGGTATCAGATGTTTTGAAGAAAATGATCGAATTAACACTAACATACATCCTTGAAATTATATCTTTTTCAAAGACTCTTTTTATTTACTATTAATTATATTATAATATATTATTAATAAAATAGTTTTGATTTATAACATCATTGTTCTTTTAACTAGTTGGGTTGTACAAAGCTAAAGTTATCCTAATCTATAACCTCTACCCCAATTTCTTGAAGTACTCTCAGTTCGCGGTGCATTCCTGCCAGGATTTAAAATGGTACCGAACGAAGTTCGAATACCACTAGCAGACGAGATATTTGTAGGGAACCAATAATATAACCATTGTGGCGTATTTAAAAATCTTCTACCGCCAGTTGCAGGATATATTTCTTGTAAATAATGATATATATGACCCGTAAATACTCCTATTAATGATGCCCACGGAATTCCTCCCACTTGTAACATTTCAAATATTAATAATACAAATGGTAAATATACTCCCTGTAATAAATAAAGAAAAGATTTTTTTTTTGTTAATCTTGTAAATATTAAACAACATCAATGAAACTTATTATATATGGTTAACTTACCTTAAATCTTATACCAAACATAAAATTTACTATTGCTTCTCTGTGATGTTGTGACCATATATATATAATAGCCATTACTAAACTTTGGTTAAATAATGAAAATCCAAAAAACCATCCTACTATCTATTAATAATTAATAGTAAAAAATCAGATTAAAGATAATATTGTTTTTGCAATTCTTGTTCGAATAAATCAGGTTTCTCCGTTAAAAAAAAATATAAATATATAATAGAGATCACCGAATTATATTCAAATTTATTCTACCCTTGATCGTGAAACGAGACAGTTTATCAAAAAATTAGAAACTGTTCGGGCAAAAAATAGGGATGAAATATGCGAATCACACAAATCACAAACAAAAAACTTGAAAAAGGACAAGGATACAAGTATCGTTAAAGCCTCGAACAAAAGGAAAAAAACATAATCTGCTGTTCTCCCTAAAAATTTGTCAATTTCTACATCTCTAGAATATGTATATAAAAAATATAATTGAAAAGCTCCACTCAAACTAAGTCCATAGAGGAAAAATGAAGTGTAAAGTCTCCATATCTAATGAAATATTAAACTCAATTTTATTTAGTTAATAAATATATTTTAATTAGAAGAAAGATAAAGTAATTATTACCTGTAATTTATAAAACGTGAATTGAGGTATGTGAACAAGATAATGTGGTCTTATTACCGTATTACCAAGTACTGTTACTAAAATAAAACTTGTAAATAAAAATCTTGTACAAATTGGCATATCTTTATACCAAGAAACCATTTCATTTTGTGGTTGACGTTGCTGTCTACTCATTTTCGCTCTTTTTTTTTAAGAATATAAAAAATAAGTATCTTGAGGGCATAAAAATTTGGAGAAAGCGCCAATTGACAGTATATTAATTTTTAATAGAAACGTGTTAATAGTTAGTTCGTGATCTAATTAACGTGATGTCATCTTTACACGATCTATGATTTTGATTAGACTTAACCTGATTAATCACGATCAAAAAATTTTTTTACAATAGTTTTCCAGTATAAGGAAAATCGAGTTGAATCATGTTCCAAACTTTGTGAATTCTGGATTATGCTGTGAGAAGCTTCATTTGACTTAACCTTTACCTAAAGAGGACAGAAAATTTTGTCATATCATGATTTTCTGCTTCTCTATCAAAACGTAATTGTCCATTCACCACCATTTTTAGACAACTGGAATCGTAATGATGATGTTTGGGCTAAAACGTCGTCATGATATGATTAAGTCAAGTTGCCATTTGCAACTAATTTTACCATGGGATATTTAAATTGCTCTCTCCTCTCCCTTACAACTCAAAGTTTCGAAGTTAAAGTCACTTAAAGGATTCGATTAACATTACCAATTTCAACTGCGTTTAAAAATTTTATTTATGCACGTATTCATATCTATGAAATGGACATAAACTATGATATAATTTATAGAATGTTATTAACAGCAAACGTAGTCACCTCAACAGAATAGGCGCAATTTTAAGTTTGGTACCAGTATTAGAAGCACTTTATATTATTGTAATAAACTCCCTATGAGAAGTTCTCTGTTAATTCTACACGATCAACTTCCCGCCCTTAATGATAAATCAAGTAGAAAAAGACAATAAAATTCACTTATCTGAGATAAGTTAAATTTCTTTTTCGGCATTTCAACCAAATTTTTCAAAGGATAACTACAGGACGTGTAGTAGAAGATGTTTTATTCGACTCTATATCAAACTTTACTTCTGAGCAGTAAGTTTAATAATTTAACCTCTAGAATTGTTTCTTAGCATGCCTAATGATCTAACATGCTTAATGACAATAGTTTAGTGCATTCGTTTACGATCGATGTTGATGATCCAATGTTGAAAGAAGTTTTTTCTCCCACTAAATTGGAAGAGATGGACTGACAAATACCAAAGAAGATCCAGAATTAAGTGCGGATCTCTACAGCCATCTCGCAAAATATTATGATAAGGTTGGTGAAAAACATGCTGTAAATGTACTGTATGCCATGATTAACGTGTTTTGTTATAAGGATTTGTGGAAAAGTTGAGTAAATTTGGTCTCTTGATAACTTTTTTTCCTTTATTTAGATGGATCTTTCACAAGCTCGTAAAAAATGGTACGAACTTAGAAATTTAGCCGCTCCTGTATATAGAGGCGCAATCGTAGAAATCGACCAGCAATTATCAACTTTTCTTGGAAATCAAACCAAGAAAAGATTATCAATGTTACATTTGATGCATCAATCACATCTTGAAAAAGGGACATAAAGGAATAATTGATCGCATTCCGACAAGAATACCTTCTTCCTTGGAAATATAGTTTCAACTCTAAGAAATTTGGTTTGGCTTAGACTTTTGTAACAAACTTGAACAATTTCATTACAAGAAAAATGATGGAACCATGCGAAAATTGACACTAAATTATTGTTTTCGCGGGAACCTTTCATAAGGCTCGTCAGCAGTTTGGGACACGTTAAAAATTCGAAAAGCTTTGAAGATCTTCTTATAGATATTAGATACTTCTTCTTTATACAGTGAAAAATCCTTACCTCCCGCTACTAGAGGAAGATCTTTAACTCCCATAGTAGAAATTCGTCCTGTGGAAATCCGCGATAATCTAAAATCTTCGGATCCTGACAGTCCAGACGGGTTTACTATTATTCCGAGAGAAAATGAAAATAATTGGCACAGTTAATACAAAAGAATTCTCAACTTTTAATAAGTTGCTACTGGTGGGCTATTCCATTTAGTCCTAATGCATGAATGTCTTCTCCAACTTCTCATGAAGATCTCATTAATCTAGAACTTGCGTACCTTGTATTGAAAGAATACAAGAAAAAATTAGATGAAACGAAAGACATTCTGTGTAAACTTAATCAGAGGAGAACACAATTGATCACTAGGGGAAAGAAGAAGAATTACTTGGAGAGTTAGCAAAAAAGCCAAAATTATAAATACACCAAGGGAAAAATCCTCAAAAATAGTCGATGACAAACACGATCATCGAAACGAACTTCCCAATAACCGTCAAAATATAAAAAAATCAACGACAAAAAAAGCGAATTAGGTAGGGTATGTATTATGGAAATGAGATTGAGGTGGAGATGATAGATGAAGATAATGATGGAAATGGAGACAGTTAAATTTCTCATTCACAAATCTGGTATTAGATTGCAATATTACTACGCTAAGCCACTCGCTTGGTGGGGGTAGTTGCAAAAGAGCTTGGTGACTTCAATATTTCTTTCTCTATTTCCAGCATAATGGTATTTTGTCACTAAACGAAATCGGGGATAGATAATGTGGAAAATTTTCCAACATTGGTAGTGTTGATGACGATGTAATGGTATTAATTAGTAAAACAAATTCACTATATTAAATAATCGACTAAGAAACAATGCAGAAATAAGTGGAATTCATTAAAGTCAGGATTTGAAAATTTAAAAAGAATATTAAATGGAAATCCAGAAAGATTTCCCACACACACGCCAACTCTTCATGACGAACGTTTTCATGAAGAGTTGTCAGATGAATTACCACTATTATTAAAGACTTTACACACGATGAAATTTTCACCAAAAATGCGACAATAAACGCGAATCGGTACGGAACAAAAGAAGCAACAAGAATAATAACATTAATTTATTCTATTGATTGCTTGTAAATCATTATGGATGTCAGATTAATTGGTGTGAACGAAGTGACATAATAATAGCTTAGGTTAGAGATAGGGTTAAAATTAGGTTAGGGATATGGTTAGGTAAAAGAATTAATGCATACCGTCTTTTTACATGGTATACTTCCCGCTACATTATTTTCTTTACTACTGTATCTATCCATTTGCTAATTAACTTTTTGCTGTACTTTGAATCGTAATTACTGTAATAAAAGCCTTTTCACAGTATTCTTTCCAATTAATACAAAAAGTTAATGAAAATAAATTTTGATTCATCGGACATGTGACCAACGACCATAAATTTCACTCTAATTTCACCAGAACAAAATGTTAATTCCTTTAATTTCAGGCAACATGATACATCCGGACATGAATTTTAATTGGCCGAGAATTTTTGATTATGTCGATCAGGAAGAAACAGATATCTGTTCTGAGAGTTTTCTCTCTAAGAAAAATTTTAATTTGTAATTCAACATGAGAATGGTAAATATTTATTATTTCATATTTTAAGCAAATATTCTTGACAAAATTCTTTTTTTTAATAACATACAAGTTTTAAAAAATTAATTGATAAAAACGCGTTAAAGAAAAAAAGAATATTTGAGATAATTAAATAAAATTCTCATTTTTGTATGAATAGCTTAATCAAGACGAAGAAGCTGATGTAGAAGTAACATGGGAAGATCAACAAAAAATAAATTCTTTTAGTAAATTAAATGCAAAATATTCTGATTTCGAATTAAATTATGAATCAAAAAAGGTATTTCTATTATATTTCAATTTTTTTTTTTTTTTTTTTTTGAGGTGGGAAAAGGTTGAAAAGGTTTATTATTTTTTTTTAAAAAAAAATCAAATTTTTTATTAAAAAAATTTCATTAAAGATTCTTTTTTATTTTATATTTTATATTTTTATTTTATTTTTATTTAGCAAGAAAAAGAATATCTTGATGATTTGACTGAAGAACTTGAATTAGCTGACGAAGATGATCGTATCAAGTAAGTTAAAAATTTTAGGATTATTTATATATATATGATTATGTTGTTAATATGATTTATATATAATATTCATTCCAATTTCGAAGTGAAATTGCTTTTTATAATTAATTTTAACAAAATCTAATTTAATTTTTCTTTTAATGATTTTTTTAAAAAATAGATATAAAATAGGAGAAGCATTTATTAGTATTTCAGTAGAACAAGCTCAACAACGTATAGAAAAAGATAAAGAGATTTTAATACAAGAATTAGAACAAATTCAAAATGAAATGAATAGTATAAATGAACAAATGTCTCAATTAAAAGTTCATTTATATGGGAAATTTGGTAAAGCCATTAATTTAGAAAAAGAATAAATATAAATAAGTATAAAAAGATGAATTTAGCATCAATAATTTTTGATAATATAAAGGTAGAATTGAGTAAAGTGAATATAGGTGGGATGGATATGAATTATAATGGAGTTGCATTCTTTTTGTATAATAATAATTTTATGACAATAAATTTAATAAATTCAAACTTCAATAATTTATAATAATTTTTGATAATAAGGTAGCATTGAAGTAGGATGGGTATGAAATATAGGTGTGATGGATATGTAGTTGCATTCTTTTGTAGTTGCATTCTTTTTGTATAATAATAATTTTATGAATCACATAAAATTCAAACTTTCAGCACTTTTCACTTTTCTCATGTATAAATATCACGTGAAATCTCTTTATATAAATAGAAATTTAGGCGCGTAAATTTTTAATATTTTCACGCGCGTTGACAGACTCACAAAACTTGTGCTCTCACATTCTTATACTGCATATACTGCATATTGCATTATTAGTTTAAATGATAACTTTTTCTCGATTTTCTTGATGGAAAAGACAAAGAAACATGAAACTTTTTATATTTCTTTAAAGAACATTTAGAACATTTATATTCAATAATTCTTTTATTAATAATTTAACAAAAATGGTATTATTTAAACCTGATCCTTTCGAAACTTGATTTTTTTTAAAATACAAATGTTTTATAAATTGAAATTAATTTTTAAAGAAACTAATTTGGGTGTATCATTAAAAAAAAAAAGAAATCAATGCATTGATAAAGCACCAAGTACATATAATAATATATGTGCAACTTTTTACATATAGTATTATAGTGTATACTGTTTTACAAGTGGTATTAAGTGGTATATATATATATAATACAATAATAATCAATAATAACCAATAATAACCAATAAACCACTCTTTCATGCATTAATAATAATATAAAAATTTCTCGAATTCTTGTCAGCAGACCGCAGTTATTTTTTCAAAATAAATCACATGACTGAAAAAAACTTAATCATATCATGTGAACAAAAAGATTTACCGTCCCCCCTCGACTTTTCGTAATAATTAAATCATTTTTACAATAAGAGTATAAAGTTCCTTTGTTTTCAAAAAAAACCACGAGTTTCTTATCTACACTTTATCTTGTGAAAAAGAGAAATTGGGCGCAGGGCGCTACAAAAAAAAACGTATGATTTTTTTTTATCCCTAATTATTCCATAATTCTCCATAATTTTTTCCATAATTCATTTTTTTTTTTTTACTATTGTTTTTCCGGTATACTTTTTCATTTAAAATTTAATAAGGTCATATGTCATATGTTATACATAAACGTATGGTATCATGGTATCGTTTTAAGGATTTCTTTGAACCATATGAACATTGAACATAACAAGTTTAGTACATTTCAAAACCTTATAATAAAGTACAAAAAATCTTCAATTATCATTAACCCGTCTTTCTCCTTAAAAATTAGGCGACAATTTTTTACAACGATTAATAATAATAAATAATTATTTTTTTCCTAATTCGTTAATTATTAATGACCAGATACCCGAAAACATTAAAACATTAACTATCACACACATTAATAATATTTTTTTTTTTTTTACATTATAAAACCAATTACAAAGTATAAATTTCCTAAATTTATTGTAATTGGGAAAGCGGGTGAAACTTTTTTTTAAAAGTTGTACAAATTCTTTAAAAAAGTACAACTTTTAACCAAAAGTAAACAATTATCAAAAATTTATATCAAGTGAGCCTTTCAATTTTTTCTTTGTTAACTCAAAAACTGTTCATTGATTCAAAATATGTACATAATAATATATTTTGATCATATGGAGAGATTAGGGAAAAAAGGGGGGGTTGAGGTTTGTTAGTCGATAGATTTACAAAATAGATTTGCATGACAAGATTGACTTGGGTTTTTTTTTTTTTGAAGTTGTACATTTTTAATAGGCAATATATTAAAATAAGTAAAAGAGCTGCGCAAGTTGAGATTTTCGTTGGCGCGAATTTTTAATATTACATGGCGGAAATTTAGTACAACAAACATTATCATATACAATTATTCTTAATAGGCAATATCATTTTGCTATGCCATTAATGATATCTAGAAAAAAAAAAACTTTTCACTTGATAAGGAAACTTATATCAAGCGGAGTAAAAAAAGCAGTTTATGTAATTTTATGCTTAAGTTTAAGCTTATTACCTGTGCCTCTTTCTTGTGCCTCCTTTAGATTTTTGATGGATAGGATAATTGCATGGGTAGATGAGTAGATTAAAAAAATAATTTCGCGTTTTTGTTTATTACGCCAAAACAAAATCAAATAGATTGTCGGGGAGTGAGTTTTTTTTTTTTTTTTGATCGGGAAGAGTTTTTTAATAATTATAATAATTAACATACATTTCTTTCTAAATAAAAATTAGTTTTATTAATTACAAATTAGTATTACTGGATTGATATGATGATATGGATTTGTATCATTTGTATGGATTGTATGGATGTACATTAAAAAAACTACAACGAATCAACGAATCGCGCATTTGCAACACAGGATATATAAGATCACAACAGCGTGTTTGATGATCAAGGAATATAACTTTTTGTTTAACAAACATGTATAAGTATGTATGTATGTATGGTATGTATGAGTATTTAAAATATGGTTAAATATTTGAAACGGAACGGAACACCTTTTTTTTTTAAGGGTAACATTTTCCTTACAATCCCATCGTTCATAAAATTAGAAATATATGAAATACATGTTACCCGCTGTACAATAATTAATATTTGTGATCAGATAAATGTTTAGGTGATATTATCAATATTATCAATTGGTGGATGGATTAAAGGTAACGCGTTAAACATATTACAGCTTACAGTTTACGGTTTACAGGTTTACAGGATAACAGGATAACAGGATAACAGGATAACAGGTTTAATTAAATTATTTTTTTTTATTTGAATCTCTCTTCTAAATTTGTAAGAAAAGAAGTATTACACGTGACATTCAAAATTTGATTGGAGCAAATCTATAAATAGATTAAAATACTGAGTATTCAATTTTTTTGTGTTCAATAAGTTCAATAACAACTTTGAATACTTCAATAAGCTTCAATACCCGTTTTTTTTTTTATTCAAAAGTAAATTAAGTAAAATTAAAAAAAATGTATAACAATATAAAAGCTCATTTATACATTTATTAAAAAATTTTATTACATTTATTACAATTACCGGTATAATGATATATAAATTATTTATAATTATAAATTTATTTATAATATTTATAATATAAAAAAGTATAGAAATTAAAAAAAAAAAATAAATAAAATAAGAAACTTATTAATTATCGGGGAAAAGTCACACCTTTGTAAAATGAAATCCAAAAAATATTTTTTTTTTAATAAAAAAATTACTTAATAAAGATTATCCGACCGGAATTATCCATTATTTCCAAAAATTATAATAAATTACAAGTAAATCATAAATTATTAAGGTAAATCATAACATCCCAACATCTAGTCTATCACCCGGGGACCCCGGTTAATACCTTTCGGCTGTTCGGCCCATTGCGGGGAAATATCTCCTATGATAAAAGCAGTGTAAAAGTAACGAATGAAAATGCTCACATATGAATTTTAACCTAATGAAAATTTCCATTTTTAAAAGGTCAAAGCTTTCATTTAAAAAAAAAAACATCAGTTTTAATGTACAATGTACAATGAATCATCGTGAAGAAAAATAAAATTAGGAAATTGATATACTTTTATATGTTTATTTACTTAAATTATATCTATATAATGTATAATTAATTATATATTATATAAATCTGAAATCCAAGAACTCGTGCAAAAAATAGATCATTTCTTTGTTCAAAAATTATTGCTCTTTTTTTGTGTGTTACGTGAGGCAAAAAAAAGGAACTGTAATGATGACTGCAATGACGATGATTTTAATGACGACTGAAATGTCGAAATTTTTTTAAAATTTAAGGAGAATATGGTTTATCAAAAAAAATTAAAGTTATCAAATTTTCAATAAAAATTTTTACATACCACATATCTGATATTGTTATACATTTTTTTTTTTTTTTAAAAAAAAAAAAAAAATTAAAAAAAAAAACTTGATGATTTTTTTTTCTTTATCGATCGAAATTTAAATCGCAAATTTATTAATGACAATGCGATTTGTGATAGATCACAACATGTTATCAAATGACTATCTCACCCCACCTTTTTTTTTATTATTCATCTGGGTTACAGATAAATATTATCATTATCGTTCATCTAAAATCTCATTTATTTATGTAAAAAAACTGTATCTGATATAGAAGAATCAAACTTGAGATAACGAATTTTTAAAAAAATCACAAATTTTTACAAATATTACAAATTTTTTTTTATAGTTCCTGGAAATTCTGGAAAAATCATTATCTTTTAAATGAACTTTTTAAACGATAACCGCAGTAATTTTGAACGTGGGAATATTCTCTAACCTTAAAAAAACTTTCCCTTCTTTCATGGGTTGAACATTCTTTTTTAGTTCTTATTATAATTTATTTTTTTAAATACCAACAAACACAATGAAACATTTTTTTTTTGTCTCTTTTGAACAAATTACAATTTTCGTTGTTTACATTCATAAATATTAACATTGTTTAAAAAATTTTAAAGTTTAATTGAAATTATAGATAATATATAATAGTACTACCAAATGTGATCATTTGCATAATGCATTTTTCTGTAACGCGATACGGCAATGTAGCATTATGTATATATAATATGCTAAAAAAGTTAAATTAAAAAATAAATAATAATAATAAAGTCATTATTATTTATCAATGAATTTAAAGTTGGGAAGATATCATAAAAAATATCATAAAATAAAATAAAATAATACAAAGAAAAAAAAGAAAAAAAAAAAAAAATATTAATATTTTCGCGGTACGTGATGCAACAACGCATACAATACAATGACAAAGAAGTTAGAATCCATTTCATAAAATTAATCCATTTCATAAAATTTCAAACTAATAACTAATTTTAGATAATTTTTTTACTAATTCTTGCCTACAAAACCAGAAAATAATTTTACGCTAACCCTTAATTTAGAAATTTAATTTAGTTCTGAAACTCTTATTTAATCTGGATTGGGACCTAACCGACAACATACATTCGGTTCAGGTCCCCCGTTTTAAAATATTTCATCATGACTCATATTAAAGTTTTAAAAATTCTGAAAATTACTTGAACTTTTCCTTTGGCTTACTAAACCCGAATATATATATATTCTTAGAATGTATAAGTTATTATATTAATATAGAATGTCATTCTCAATTTTTTTTGAGGGAGATCTACATTGCATATTATTATTATTATTTATCACATCTTGTCATGTGTCAAATTCGGAGGATTTGTTCCAAAGAATATTTATAATTAAATGAAACTAAATTAAATTTGATTAGATTATTTATTTAATTAAATTCACACGATTGGGAGTAGTAGTAGTAGTATAGTGTACTATAGTATATTGTTATTATACATAGTATATATATATACTTATCTATCAAAACGGCTTTTAGGGCGAAAAGATCAGATAATCCGTACTTTCTAAAAACTTTGATCATTGTAGTTTTTTTTATATATATTTTTAATTATTAAATGCATTATCATTTGAGCCTTGTCAGACAGTCAAAATAAAATGTAAGGGACTAAAAGTGGGCCGTGCATCATTCGCTAATAACCGAATTTTGGCTGTTAAACGTTAGATTAATCATTTTTTCTAAAATTTTTTATTATTTCATGAGAAGTGAAACCATGTTTCAGGTTTTTTTACAAGAAACTTTGGTAAATAAATACTTAAAGAAGAACATCTGTTTGGATTAAGTAAGTGTTTTTGGCTTTGGCTTTTTGTTTTCTTTTGTTTTCCGAACGAGAAATTAAAAGGAATGCAAGATTGAGCCCGTTTATTTTTTGTATAAAAATATCATTATTGATATCAATAAAATTCTTTGTATAAAATTTCTTCCACTCCCCCTTTTTTTTTTTTTATTTCATATTATAATCACATTCATTTCTTTTTATTTTCCGGAAATAGATTTTCTGATTACAACTTTTTCCCGGTTACTTTTCATTTTCATATATAATAAAAAAGTTGACAGACAATACATTTTTTTAACCATTCCGAATTTAGAAGTTCTTCGGATAATGAAAGCTTGAAAATAATGTAACATTTTAAACATAATTAAATGATTTTGTAACATATAATGGGTTATATAAGTAAATGCATGGTGATTTTAGGAAATTTAAATAAAAAATAACAATACATTTATTTATTTTATAATAAGGAGGAGTTACCCTTTTTTACCCGCATAAAATATGTATCACAAATATATATATATAATTGATATATGTTGAGTAAAAAAAGAAAAAAGGACAAATGTGAAGAGACTTCAAAAAAAAAAAAATAATTTTTTTTTTTTTATATTTGCGTAACATTCAAACATATATATATATATTATATTCGGATGTAGCGATGTACTTGTTTGTTCAACATTTACCATAAATGAATTTTTGTTATACTGTATAAAATCCGCGTTCTTTTAAATTGTACAACCAGATTTACATGTACATACAAATAATTAAAGTATATGATCTACAGCGCGAGAAAAAGAACTTTAACTAAATCTAACCTTTCATTTTAAAATAAATTATAAATATATAACATGTAGATTATGATAAAATTTATGAGATCATAGATACTGAATTTATTTTATAAAGATTTACTCGATTTTTTTTTTTCGATTCAAAATTTAAAAATAATTTGGGATTCACTTAATCTTTTACTGGATTTGATTTCAAATAATATTTTTTTTTTTCATGACTTTCAACACAATCGATTAAAAATGGCTTAGTATAATTAACATTTCTCAATTTTAATCTTCATAGCCCATCCAAAACTTGGAAATATAATGAATTTATATAAAAAAGTATTTCTATCTTATCTTCTATTATCTATATGAGATATGAATGATTTGATTAAAAAAAAAGATATAATTAATATCTAAATAATTTAATATAAAATTTTCTGAAATATAGTATTTAAAAAGTAATCGAACCTAGTCTATCTAGTCCGGCTAACCGTATAATATTGTAATATCCCAATAACCAAATTTTAAATCAAATAACCCGAAATAACTAAATAACTGACCAATAACAGATAAACCGGTCAAAAAACCAATAACCTGTTCCGTGTTGTATATCCAACATTATCTAATTTAATCTACGTTAATTATAACCCTTTCCTAAACCTTTAAAGTTTTAACCGTTTATTTTTATAATATAGATTATGTATAACGTAATCAAAGATAAGATTATATTGATTATTATATAAATAAATTAAATATAAATATATATATATATATATATATAAATTTCTTTTTAAAAATTTCTTAGGTTAAACCCTTTTGCTTAAAATAATCGACCTAATTAGATAATATAAACTAACTCTTATTGGTAATAGTGGGTTTTAGTGTACCGACTAGACTAATTAATAAATAACGTTACGCCTCAAATAAATTTATCGTATTATTTACATATTAATAACGTGATCTCATTTTAAAAAAATAACAACAAATATCTCTTTTTCAACCTTTAAGGGATATCCGAGAAGACACTTTTGCATATGAATATTATATGAATATTATTATATGAATATTATATGATAAAAAGATCGTTATATTTTTTACCGTGAGAGAAAAAAAATTACTCATAAAATGAAACCAAAAGTGATTAAAAAGTGTCATCATTATTTTTAGCCCAATAATGAGTTGTAGCAAATTGATTGGTTGAATTAAGTTATTTCGGCTAAGCGTGAAATTGGAATTTTCTTTTTTTTTTTGCGGGTTTGTGCTTGTACGGTTAATTTGGGCAATTATTATATTTATAAGGTACTCATATATGAAAGAATTATTTAGAGGCTTATGTGTTAAGAGGCAAAGTTAAAAAAAAAAAAAAGTAAATATTAGTCATAGTTTTTTTTTAAACAAAGGTTCGTTTAGGGAAAGGATGCATAATAGATCAGGGGACAAGAAACGATATTTCTTTTTTTAAAAAGAATTAATGAATGAAACTTTCCTTGATTTAGACTCGGTGAACAGGATTTTAAAAGGGAACTTGGATAAATAAATCGAATGAATAAAAAAAAATTCGAATAATTACCGTAAAATATTTTAAAATATTGTAAAAAATTTTGGAATAATCAAAATATTTTAAAATATTGTAAAAATATTATAAATTATTTGAATAATTGAATACCATTTTTGAATAATTGAATTAAGGAGTTTGATTGGATCAAATGAAAGATAAGATAAGGGAGAAAAGATAAAATAATTTTCATAAGCGAATTCAATTAGAATCATTTGAAAAAAAACGGAATTGATTTAATTAAAACTGATACTTTTTTGATTCTTTTAGTGAAAAGAAATCAAAAAAAGTGTAAACAAATTCAGATCCATAGTATTTAATATAGTAAATAATAATAGTAAATAAGCCATGCGGAATATATCAAGTTTGGTAGTAAATTGATGTCGGTATTTCGAATGGGTCCTCAATCAAAATAAGTAAATAATCCACTGTTATACAAATCTTATTTCCTGTATTTTTTTTACTGTATTAATTATTATACCATTTTTTTTTTTTATTTTTTATTTTATTTTATTTTATTTTTGCGGGAAAAAAAACCTTGATTTTCTAGAGACGTGTGAAATTATAAATTTTGTAAATTGTTAAATTGTAAATTTTTTTTGTATGATTTTAAATTTTTTTTTTTTTTATATAAAAAGAAATTTTTTTTGAACAATATTATTATATAATATAAGCCCCTAATTGTTTATTTTAAATAAAAAAAAAAAAAATTTTTTTTTTTTTTTTTTTTTCAGCCAAAAAAATATTTATTTATTTAAAACAAGACAACCAAATAATCCAATCCAACAATATTTGATATATAAGAGAAACCGATAACCGTTTTACCATCGGCGTGTAATAAGAGAAATTCCTTGAAATAAAAAAATGTCAAAAAGAATAATTATATTGTATAATAATTAATTGTATGGAAATGAAAATCCCATTTAAACAATATAATTGTTGATCGATTATATACACTATTTATAGAATCTTTATTGTAAATAATTTGTTATAAAATATAAATATATAAATAAATAAAATAATTTATATATGAAGTTTATGATAAAAGTCCGATAACCCCGAGTTGTTGTAATATATCTGATACTCTGCCTGTGACAAAAAAAAAAAAACAAGGGACCTTTTTTCTAGTGGATAGAAATATTTTATAAATTGGTGAAATGTAGTTTGAATTATTTCGTTAAAAAACAGTGTCATAATTTTTTTTCAGAAAAAAAAAAAAAAAAAAAAA